GGACAACTATCTGCCCGTAGCGGCAGCTGCGGTCAGCACAGCTGCAGCAACAACAACAACGACGAGCACGACCAAGCAGAAGATCTTCATCAAGAACGTGGACATACTGAAGGCGCCGCAGCGTGGCACGCTGCACTTGCGCACCGTGGACGAGCTGAATCTGATGAATCGCAACGAGGTGGAGCATCTAATTGTGCCCAATCGTGAGCTGGAGCTGCCGCCAAATCCCGCTGCCGTCACGCTGGAGCCGTCGCTGGTTGATTTCCCACAGCAGCAGCCGGCGGCGCCGCCTCCAGCGCCGTTGAGCTATGATGATAACTACGATTTGGCCGAGGATTTAGAGGGCTGGCCCTGGATAGATGAGGCGGGCATGGCAGCCACCGAAGCGGATCAGGAGGGATCCGCACAGCTGGAGTTGCCGCACAATGCTGAGGATATTCTGATTAAAGATTTTCCACAGCTCTATGCGCAGCAGACGCCTAGCTCGGGCACTGTGCCGCCCCTGGTGCCAGTAACTGGCTCACCCGATGCGACGGCAGCCAGTCCCGCTGCGCCTGCAGATAATCTCTGCGGTCTGCCTGTGCCGCCTTTGGTGCCGCTGGCTGGCGAGTCCACGGCGACGCCCACGCCCGCTCAAACTGGCAGCGACAAGCCGGCTCGCATTTATGTGGCCAACAATTTGCTGCCCGCTGCTGTCGAGCAGCAGCCGCTGGCTGGCGGCACCTCGGTGCGCGGCCGTCCCTATGGCGCCAAACAGGCGGGTCAGGCCAAGCGGCGGCCGGCACAGGGCACAGCTCAGCCGCCCGAGGGCGGCAAATGCACTGTGGAGGGCTGCATGTTCCGGTTCAAGTCGCCCGCGACGCTGGAGTATCATGGCCGTTGTCATAATGGTGCACTCGGCTCGGCGCAGCCGATGATCTGTCCGGAGTGCAGGTCGACGCAGTTCAGCAATTGGAACTGCCTGCACACGCATCTCTGGCGCACACACGCCATTGACATGGAGCTCTACTGCTGTCAGCTGTGCAGCTTCAAGACGCCCATCTATTCGCGGCTGGTCAACACCCACGCCAAGATCCATTCCGAGGAGCGCAACTACAAGTGCGAGCAGTGCGGCAAGGGATTCAAGAACACCAAACAGCTGAAGAACCATCGACGGCTGCATCGCACCCAGGGCCTGGGCATGGCCAAGCCGAACCACAGCGAACAGCAACCGATTCCAATACTCCCGGTGCTCCATCGCTGCGAGGACTGCGGCGCCGCCTTCAAGCATCGCAAGACTCTGCGCGAGCATCTATGCAAGCAGCGCAACGAGCAGCCGCAATGCCCCACCTGCCAGGTAAGCACTAGTTTTAATCTGACTGAATCTGATTGAATGGCTGATTGACTGACGGACTGATTGATGCTCAACTTAGAGTCCAAGATGTAAAAGCTAGTAAGCTGCATTGTTCTCTTTGGTTACATTATGTGATATAAGCGTGACTTCCACCCACAAGTGTGGAAAATAGGTGGAAAAAAATTATTAACTTTTATTAGTTACATATCCGATTCTCTTCAGACTTATTTTTAAATATCCTTGTGATAATTTATTAAAGACATATTTCACGCCTTTTGTAGTATCCGGAATTTGGCGAATTCCACCAGTAAGTGTGGAAAATTAGTGAAACTTTTCTGGTTTTACATCCGCTACTCTTGAAACTCATTTTTAATGACTTCGTTAAATCTATGCACAAATTCTTTTTATTGGTTATACATTTGTTTATTTATTTCAACGTTATTTTTGCAGCGCGTCTTCAGCTCGAAGAGCAGCCTGAAGCTGCACATGCGCAGCCACCAGGCGAACAAGCGCTTCAAGTGCGACAAGTGCGAGTACGAGGCGAACGACCACAATGCCTTTCGGCGTCATCTGGCCACCCATCGGGAGCCCAAGCGCTATGCGTGTCCGCACTGCGACTTCCGCGCCATACAGAGCACCGCCTATCGGGTAGGTCCATAATGGAACACGCCAGTTATATATGTAGCTATACATGAATTGCTTGCCTTTGCAGATACATCTGCAGAAAGTGCATCCGGAGCTGGAGCTGTCCACCATCATATACAAATGCAATGTGTGCAAATTTTCCAGCGTCAATCACGGCCTGCTGCTGGTCCATCAGGCCAAATATCATGCTGCGCCCGTCGAGCCCACGAAGATCAAAGTGAAAAGCAGCCTCCTGCTCGCACATTCCACAGCAAATGCCAAGGAGCAGCCGGAGTTGCCAAATAACGCTCAAAATGTCTAGGCATATCATATCAAATATGTCTTTTAAGAATCCGGATAGACATGTATCATTTATTTTTTACAAAAGCAACACACAAAGTGCTGGCGCCGCGGGTTGGTCACAAGCTGAGTGTAGCTTATAGAACATTTTATACCATATTATATATATATATATATTATACTGATATATATATATATATATACTATATTGACCAATGTTAGTTATGTCCAAAAACTTGTTAAATCTTTTCAAACGAAGCGATCTATGCTTGACATCTATTCATGTTGACTCTAAAACAAAGATCCAATTGGCTTCGGAGTACCTCGAAGATAGTACGTTTTTATACTATATAATATATAGAAATATACGAATGTCAACATCTTTTAAGTAAACTCTCACAGCAATTGCCATTTATAATTGCATCGTGTACATATTTCATATTCTTAAATGTATATAACTTGGTGTTGTTATTGTAAATACGTATATCAGATCAACAAAAAAAAAAAAGAAATACCTTTTGAATTTTATACAAATTGTTACAAAATTTTAAACAATTTAATAGTTAAGCAAGTTTTTACCAAAATATAAATATTAAGATAATGAGAATGTAAGCATATTTTCGGCACGCCGAAGTTTTAATGCACTTGTAGAATTTTTGCCCCTTGACGATCTTTCCTATATGATATAGTGATCCGATGTTGATAAGATTTTGCATATATATATATATATATATATATATATAGTGAAAATATCATGATATCTTAATCAAAGTTTTTCAAAAAAGAACCTACTTTTAGACTGATTGTTCCTATGGCAACTATATGTAATATTAATCCGTTCCATTACGATTCCAGCATATGTTCTGTCTGCAATGGAAAGACGGACCTTTGGAAAGTTTCAGGACGATACATTTTATATTGTGAGACAAGTTCGCATAGAAACAGACAAACAGATGCTGATCTGGAGTATATATACTTTATGGCGTAACATATGCCTTGGAGAAATAATAACACTCTCTTCGATTCAAGCTCTTGACTTAGGCTTCAGGAGTTTCCCAAAAGCGGTAAGCTTGTAGACATATGGCCCTTAAGTGCTTTATTCCTGAACAATTACTCTCGCCTTAAATATACTAGACCGATTTGCGTGATTTTGTTTTTAATTCAATTCCGCATCACTTTGCAGAAAAATATTTAATATCACATCATAATTCACATAAAGAGTGCAGCAAGGCTCAATTTGTGAATTATTTCTCACCGAGACTATATACATAAATTCGATAGTCCGATGTATATAAAAAGTTCAACTGAATAATTCAAAAGAATTCCATTTTGCATTCAAAAACTTAAGCTGCTTTCTTTTACCCTGTAACTGCATTCGGGTATCTTATAGCTAAGCTTTATAGATAGACTGCAAAATGTACGAAATATCTGCTTTATAAATCCTTTAAAGAAACTTTCAGCCCGATCTCAATGCATTAATATATTAAGATGAATTACAGTTGTGTGCCGATCTGATTTCATTCTTTATTCTTGAGAAAAGATTATTAAGCAAGTAATAGGATTCTGCGTCTGCAAGAGCTAAGGAGGAGGCGGAGGAAAGGTTATATATATTTATAGATTGGTCATGTCTAGCAAAAAGATCTCATGTGAGTGCCAGCTGCTGCTGTGTATTGCTGGTAACTTCCAATAGTGTTAGCAGAGGTCCTTTGAATATTGGGTTGCAATACAAAGGACTTGTGCTAACACTGCCGGAAATCAACAGCGCAAGTAGCCAAATTTCCCTAATTTTTTATTTATAATATAATAAATATACTCACAAATTAAAACTTACCTTTGGCGTAGATCGAAACCACAGATTTTGCATTTAATTGGACTGCACGGCAACTTAACGCAATCGACCACAAGATCTACTTCGATTGAATAAAATAGATGGTCAATTTATATGTTTGTTTATATAAGAGCTTTATAGCCTAGTATATGTGCCAAATAAGCACTCCACTTTAAAGTGCCCGTCGGAAAGATACCCTGAAACTCGAGACGAAATATCCAGCTTCCTCTACATTCTATATATATATTGTATTCTATATATTTTTTTTATATTCTATATATATCGATAATATATATATGTTTATATATATAAACATATATATATTATTGTTTATATATATAAACATATATATATTATTGGGCAACAAGACGAAGATGGTTCAGGGTATTCCATAGTCGGGCACTCCCGACGCTCACCTGCAGTTTTTTTGTAATTAAATCTAATTAATTTGCATATAAATCAATGTGCAAACAACTATGAAGACTTTGCGGAGACTTTCTATGAACAATATTTGCTGATAGTTCAAATCCAGAAACATGCGGCTGTCACTTGCGCTAACAGGCCCAATTATAGAGTTTGTAGTTGCCCAAATACCAGGATGCGATTACTTCGACACGGTGGACCTCTCGCATAGCTCCAAGCTGCCCAACGGCTCGTCGGGCTGATCATACCGCCAGAGCAGACTGGGGAATATGACTTTGAGATATTGGCGGATGGAGAGAAGGAGTCGGTGCCCAGGCACCTGCGAGGCTGTGCCTGTCGACTGGGCAGCTGTATTCGATTCTGTTGCCATAGGAATCTCTTCCTCGACAGCAATGAACGCACGTGCAGCGGAGATATTGCCAAGGCAGTTGACTATGATCTCTATGTAAACATAAGCCTGGTGAGGAGGCACGTTCTGAAGGACTTTATCGTACAGCAAGATCTGCCTGTACCCTGTTCGGAACACTTCCATCTGGATGCTTTAAACGATGAATCTCATGGATGGACACTGAAGGTTTGATTGGCATCCATTGCAAGATCTTTCCTCTTATTAATCGAAGCTTTTTTAGGATGGCACACTTGTAGCTCAGTTCGAAAACAAATTGTTGGATAAACAGGAATAAAAATCAAGTGGAGTTGCAACAATTGAATCCTTATAACAACACAAACAAGAGTAAGTTATTTGTGGAATGCAGTCCGCGCAATGGATTTAATGGTTTTGTTTTGTCTTTTCGCAGTTTCTCTCAGTTTGTGTACCTCTTTGTTCTCTGGGCCATGTTCTGGAGCCTCGAATTGTGTTCATATCTCTTGCAACCAATGTTTTTTTTACTGCTCGGGTATATCGTCTGTGTCCAAGTCGTTGTTCTAATTGCATTTTGTGCTCTACTCACACACACCACATTAAAGCTGAGGCGTCTTTCAGATCGGTGAGTTTCCTCTTTCAAAAATAATCAAATTAAGCTGAGGCACTTTATGCAACTAACGCATAATATTTGATGTCCTTTGAAATCACACAACACATACATCGGTCTATAATTTGTTTAAACAAAGCCCATATTCTGAACTTAATAAATAAATGTTGTTCAATAGCCTCAGGAGGGCCATAAATGTTACAGATTTTGTTGAATGGAAAAAACCCACCGCAAAATAACAGCTGTGCACATGTGCAGCATAATGCAAACATATCGACCTTCATTTCATTTCAATTCATTTAATTAAATAAAGTCGTAAGATATTCCATTCAGCATTTAAATTTAGCTCCCTTTGCATTCATGGCACAGCTGCCATGAAATCAATGAATTTTGGGCATATTTCTGCCATATCGATTTGCTATATAAGCGCTCATCTTTTCGGTTGTAAATCAGTTCGAATTCAACAGAGTTTAACAATCTTCAACCTTCAACATGAAATTCATTTTGATCTTGGTTTGTCTGGCGATCTTTGTGGCCCACACACAGGCCCAGAGAAGGCCCCCCGTACGACCTCCCACAAGACCTCCAACAAGACCTCCAACAAGACCTCCCACACGAGGTCCCACAAGAGGTCCAAGTAGTTGCCGTGGCGCCGTTTCAGGTAAGAAACTGTCAAAGTTCTCTCATATGTATATGTCTATAAATCCACTCTTATTCCACAGCTAACCGACAGGCTTGCACAGGCGGTAAAAACGAAGGAAATGCCAATGGTCGCCAGTGCCCCGCCAATGCCAATAGGGAGATGTGGTGGTACGACAGCAGGAGCCGATCCTGCAAGAAGATGTCCTACAAGGGATGCGGCGGCAACAACAATCGCTATTGCACTCGCAAAGCCTGCGAAACCAAGTGCAGGCGTCGCACCTAATAATCCAAACAAAAGGTTGAATCTGAAAGATGAATATTGAAATAAATTAACTGGATATTGCATTATAAATGAAAACGTCATTTCGTGGTATAAATGTAAAATGTAAAATTGTGTTTAGGTCTCACTGTCTACTTGGCGCTTTGTCCACGACATCACGACATCCAAAAAAAAGCCTTAGATGGAAGCCTACTTGTTCAGACTATGTCCTGGATCACACTTGGAAAATTGTTCGAAAACTCATTCCCCATGTGAGTATTACTTTAGTTTAAGACAGAGAAAGTAAGAATATTTTCGGCAAGCCGAAGAGTTAATACTCTTGTAGTCATTTGCCTTACGGTTTTCAAGATATTTGAGAATCGTGAAGCTACTAAATACTGATTTTGAAGAAAATATCTTGGAAAAGAGTATATTTTGCATATATACATATTTTCACTTATAAAAAGCTGCCTTTCGACTGATCGTTGATCTGGCTTTTGCACACCGATGATGAAAAAAAAGCCAGATGAGAAGCCAGGCTAGAAATTTTGCGCCACATTCAAATGTATTGTACCAATTGTCTTTGGTTATATCAACTCGACTGTTGATGCTGATCTAGACTCTATATACTTTATAGGGTCAAAGACATCTTCATCCATACATAACACATTTCCTGACAACATTTTAATACCTACAAAATTATGTTAGTCCAAAGTGTAGAAGCAGTTCGAAAAGTCTTTGTTATTTTAAAGTACAGTGTAACGAGACGTTTGTCGGAATAGATGCATTCATTTCAATTTTGAGGAATGCCCGAAAGCAGGCAATATATATTTATTGGTAGGCATGCATGGCTGTTTTCTATAGAGAGGTATTATAATTGTGTCATGAAATGTGTAACGTATAAAAGGAGACATACCCGACCCTATTAAGTGTATAGAATCTATATGAGCATCAATAGTCGAGTTGATCTAACGAAGATAGTTCCGGCCCCATAAGGTATTTATGGTTTTACTATGCTGCATATATACGAGTCGCATCTTAACAAGATCCCACATATATTATAATTTATTGCATTTTGTATGGCAAAATGTACTTTACTCCAAGATATTTGCATCAAACTCAGCATTTACGAGCTTCACTCTTAAAAGGGTATAACATATTCGGCGTGCCGAAAATGTACTTTCTCCTTCTCAATTTTTATTCTAGGTAGATGTCGAGTCACAGCTGCTATAGACAGAGATTTAAGGAAACGGAGTATAAAAAACAAAAATTTTAAAGGTAAATCGGTTTTATTTGAATATTCAGTTTTCTTCATATCTTTCAAACATTAAAAGGGCCTGCACCTCCTCAGGCAATCGCGTAGGGTGCAATAGCGATTGTTGTTACCGCCGCAGCCCTTGTAGGAGAGTCTCTGGCAGGAGCGACTGAGGCTGTCGTACCACCACATCTCCCTATTGGCATTCCTGGCGCAGATGGGCCGACTGACGAAGCCCTCGTCCTTGCGGCCAACGCAAATTGGCCGGTTAGCTGCGGAGAAACAAATGCAAATTAGTAAAAGGTAATTTTATGGATAACCTGGAGACATGCCCTAATTACTTACGAACACCGCGACATGTGCTCCACTGTGCCTCGGAGTGGGCCACATAGAGCACCAGACACGCCAGGATTATGATAAATTTCATTTTGAAGGAACTCTCTTCGACTTGAAACAGATTGAAAACTGAACATTCGAGCGTATATATAGCCAATCGATGAACATGTTGCAGCTCTTCCACAATGTGCTTCATGAATAGGATGAATACAAAACAATTAATGCGTCAGGTAAATATTAATTCTGATTCAATTTCCTCCATATATCACGCATACGCTTTAATTTGCGCACAACTGTCAATTTTTAAGTTAAAAAAAAAAAAAAAAAAATATTTTCATTTTATCTGCCGTCAAAACTCCATTGTCTTATGTTGAGTACAAGCACAGCTCATATAATTGTTGAATATATTTATAACAAGAGGTTCTAGCCGGGAGCTTTCGACTAGGGGATACCCTGAACCCTCTTCTTCCAACATCAAATGCATATATATATTCTATTTTAGAAGCTAAATGTCAAGTTTGGTGACTTTAGCTCTTATTATTTACCAAAATTGCCCAAAAACAGGATATCGATATCGATTTTAATCGATTGCTTGGAAACGGAGTAAGTTATCGATTATCGGAAACAAACTCGATCTGCGCGGGAACTAGGAGCATCTACATCTATAATTGCAGTCTCTAGCTCTTATAGATTCTGAGATCCTTGCGTTCATACATACGGACGGGCGGACGGACGGACAGACAGACGGACATGGCTAGATCGACTCGGCTATTGATGCTGATCAAGAATATATATAAAAACGTTGTCCGAATATCTACTTAGATAACTATTTATCGAGATATCTACAATATGTAAGAACCTCGTTCTGCGTTAGGGATACGAGCAATATGTTTCAAATGTAAAGTCGCCATCAATTAAAGTTTCCGAGATCGCCGCCTCAATACAGTTAGAGAGGGGAACATTACGAGATCAATGAGCTGTTTGTCTTGATCGGGAATATATATAAATGTCTCCTATTATACTATTACTTACTTTTCAAGTCATTTCAGCAGTTGCAGGGTACAAAAACGACAAAAAAAACTTCATTTAGCTATATATTTTTTTTTTAACAAAAGCCATATGCTCAGTTTTGTAATATCCAATACATTTGCTTAAATGCCCGCATAAGTATGTTAGAAAAACCTTCGTAGAGCTGAAATTTTCTTTAATGGAAAAAACCCCATTTAAAAATAACAGCTGTGCATATAATGGAAATATGTCGACCGCAATTTCATTCAGTATTTAAATTTAGCACCTGTTTTTATTCATTGCCCGCCTTCTGGAACAGCTTTCAGGAAATCAATCCATTTTTTTGGCATTTATTTAGTGCGTAAAGCGTTCAAATTTGCAGTTTTAATTCAGTTCAAGCTGAGCAAAGTTCGAAAGTCCACTTCAAGATGAAATTCGTTCTGATCTTGGCTTGCCTGGCGCTCTTTGTGGCCCACTCTCAGGCCCAGGTGGACGATTGTCCTGGGGCTGTTTATGGTAAGTCACTTAAGTTGTTCTTTAATCCTTTAAGAATTGAATATAATGCAATTTCTATTCCACAGAACCCCGACAATCTTGCGTAGGCGGCAAAAATGAGGGCAATTCACGTACTCGCCAATGCCGCAGATATTACAATAATAATATGTGGTATTACGACAGCCGCAGTCGATCCTGCAAGAAGATGATCTTCCGGGGTTGTGCGGGCAACGATAATCGATATTGCACTCGCGCATCTTGTGAAAGGAAGTGTGTGCGTCGCACCGAAGGATAACGAAATTTTCCCATTTAATGGGAGTTATGAATATTGGAATAAATGAAATAAATGTTGCAATATGACAGAAGAAAAACTCAGGTAAAGTCAAAGTAAAACAACCCTATTTGATCTAGGTAATACAAATCTTAGGCATAATCAATCTAGCTGGAAAATATAACTTTAGCTAAGACTAAGTTCTAATATTTCCAGTTGGAAGAACTTAAGAGTCTTAACTAGAGTTCTAATTCGTGGCATATGCTGCCTTTGCAAGATGAACATATTGCGTGCGTTTATAATTCTCAACTAGTTAAGGAAAAGTTCTACTATAGACTTCGAGAATAGCGAAAGAAAGACTTAGCTGAAAGCTGATTCATAATCGGAATACTAAATAGTCAAAAAAGAAGCTTAGCTGAAAGCTGATAATCAAAATACAATACGTTTTAAACAATCGAGTCCCATAGACTCGATAAATCGAAAGCTTTATTAATGTGCAAACATATCGACCTTCATTCCTGCAGTCGTTATTCTCTTCAGAATTTATCTTACTCCACCAAGAGAAACTCAATTACGTATTTACGCATCATACATTTACATTTATATTGCGAGCGCCTATAATTCCCAATTAGTTAACGAAAAGTTCTACTGAAAGCTGGCTACTCTCAAGACAATTATCCAATCGAACTGAGCTTTCGCTTTCTACTGACACCTATTTAATAGATGACGTAAAGGTCCCAAGCAATTTGTCAGCTTGCTCGAGCGATTACCGAATATGGTAAATAATAGTAATTAAATAATCAAACACTTTAAAGGATAACTTATTTAAATGTGGGCTGGCGTGTAGCGCACGCAATGCTCTTTCGCCTTATATAAGGCAGTTGGTTGGCTAGACTTGGAATTCCGATTGAAAAATGAAAAAGTTGCTGCGAGCTATTCAACGCCTTCTGCCCTCAAATGCGTCCGAGGGCCGAATTGGTTCCATTGAGTTGAACCTGTGGCTGGCGCACCTGGTGGGTCTGCCCCTGTTGGGCCTGAAGCGGGAGACGCCGCGGCAGCAGATGTGCACCATAATCTTTGGATCCCTGGTTCTGTTCGCAATGCTTGGCTATGTCTTTTTCGAGTTGTACGATCTGTATCTCAATTGGCATGACTTGGACGCGTTCACACAAAACGTCGTCTTATCCTTGACGCATGTTGTCTTCTTGCTAAAGGTAAGCTTTTAACTGACTGATTGACAGACTGACTGTAAGAGTTAGCAAGTAGAGTTTTTCTCTTTAGTTGCCTTTTGTGCTGTAAATGCTTCGTATTTTCGTAGACTTCCACACGCAAGTGTGGAATAAGTGTGAAATAAGCGTGGAAAGGCGATTGTTTAAATTTCTTTTGGATTCAAAGAGAAAGCGAACAAGAAAGATTTTGGTGAAAATTTATTGAAAAGATGTTTAATAATTTTTCTAAATACAAATTTCTGGCAACTAATATTGAAAGATTGAGAGTCTGTAGTCTGGTCTAGAGCAAGACGGGGATTTAGTTAAATTAAAAAAAAACTCCCTTAATAACTCATTTTAGGCCTGCAACACCTGCTATCACTACGGATGCTTACGGGATGTTATCTCCAGGCTAAGCAGCATCACTCGTCGATGTGTTCTTTCCGAGCAGCAAATCGAGACATTTCAAAAGGCGGAACTGAAGGGCAAGTTGGCAAATCTCATATACTTTAATCTGGTCCTGTTGCCGGGCGCAATGGCCGTTGTTTACATACTGATCGGTTAGTGGATGATTAATATATATTTTATTTGAATATTTCAATATCATGGCAATCATTTGATCTCAGCGCCAGAGGATTTCGCTGGCAATCGTTTTCCGTATCGCGCCGAGATGCCCAACTTCTTGCCGCGCATTCTACAATCCCTGTACAAGGGACTGAGTGTTGCTCTATTGGCGCTGGAAACTTCGACGATTGACTATCTGAACATATCGCTGATGGGCCAGATATGTATGCACCTGAAGGTACTCAACCTGGCCTTCGATGAGCTGCGTCCGTCTAACAGGGAGCAGGCCAAGATAGATCCCTACAGCTGGCTCGTGGCCATTGTGAAATATCACTGCGAGCTGATCGTGTAAGGAGTTAAGGAACTCTATCGGGATTATGTATAATATATATATATTTATCATATTCCAGCTTGCGACAGCGGGTGGAGCGCATCTTTAATCTGCCAGTCATGCTGCAGTTCGTCAGCTCCGTGGTAATTGTCGCCATGACCGCATTCCAGGTAATTGTCATCGGCGACGGCTCAAAGAGCTCCATTATTATGAACCTGTTGCTCTGCTGTGTGCTCTGCCAATTGTTCTTGTATTGCTATTTCGGCAACGAGGTTTACGAACAGGTACTCTATATATCTATACCATATATCCCTGTGTAATATATCTTTCCGTTTAGAGCAAGACGCTGCCTACTTCTGGGTTTGGCTGCAATTGGGACGAGCTCGACAGGAAGTGTAAACAAACTCTGTTGATTTTCATGATAAACGCGGAACGTCCCTTTCTCTTTACGGCTGGCGGCTTTATGGATCTCACTCTGCCCAGTTTCACGTACATTATAAGCAAGTCCTATTCCATTGTCGCCGTGCTCAGGCAAATGTACAGCAGGTCCTAGGCATCATTCAATCGAACAAGCGTGTACTCAAACCCAACATGTCATCACGTAACTATCAACCAATCAAACCCAACATGTAATCACTTAACCCTCAACCAATCAAACCCAACATGTAATCACATAATTATCCACTATTAATTTATCATAATTTTCACCCCCAGTTATTCACACCTCATTCACAACGCATGTCGCAAGTGTCGGAAAACGTGTCATTAGCTCATTATTCAACTGTTTCCTATACCCTCTACCCATACGCACAACGATTGGCAGTTCGAATGAATCGGTTTGTATTCTATTTTGATTTCCTATTATATAGTAGAACGATGATGCTCACATCTAACAAGCATTATATAAACCAAGTAGTTTTTCGAGATATTGCCTAAAGAACACATTTTTTCATACAAGAACCGCACTTTCGACCGATTGTTCCCATGGGAATTATATATTTATATATTTTTCTATTATACTTATATGGAGCACATAAGAGTACAAAGGCACATTTTATGATAGAATAAAGAAACCCTCCCAAGAGTCAGGGGAAAGAACGAGAGAGAGAGAGGGAGAATGACGAAAAGAGCGGCTCAAGAGCTTGTAGACTGCGAGAAATAACCCAAGCGTGTGAATTGTGCGAATGAATGGGTGGATCGTGTGAATCGCGTGGTTCATGTGGATCGCGTGGATCGAGTATGCGTTCGAGTTAGAAATATGTTGAATATTCTGTAGATACTCTTAACATGTGGCCGTCATAGAGGAATATGACGAAGAGCTTGTATACATATGTATGTTGGTATGTGTAAGGCAATAATTGTCTTCGAACTTTTGACAGTACATATGTTTTATTTATGGAATTTTGAGCAACAGCAGACTCGGCGTATCTCGATGCTCAATGACCACGCCTAGAGAGGCATATTCACATGAATACAAACATATGTATGTATATGTATTTTATTGACATTTGAGCACAAGAACACATTGTATCATACAGTGCTGCCATTTATTGAGCAAACAAAAAAGCTAGATCTGCTTTAAAGAAAGTCGCAAATCAGTCAAATGTTGTAAGTAATAGAGTATTAGTAATAGAGTATACAACAAATTCAAGGACTCACTAATGCCGACTAAATGCAAATAATTACTGTTTGTTGTTTCATCCAACCATATCGTTTTGCAGCTCCTCTTAGAAATGAGGAGCCAAAGCATTTATTAATATATTTGTGCATTTTGTTCGTTGCATTTTTATTCGGCTAGCCGTGCTGCTGTCATCGAATTGCATAGCATACAGATCAAATGATCCACTGGATCCACTGCAGTGTTTTGGGCTATAAATAAGACTGCACATTGTTGCTCTACTGTTTAAACTGGCCATGTGCAAAATCTATTTTGTGTTCTTATACCCTGAACCCATTAAACATGGGTATAAGGGTATATTGATTTTGTGCAAAATCCAAATGTATGTAACAGGCAAAAGGAAGCATCTCCGACCCCATAAAGTATATATATTCTTGATCAACATCCGTCCGTCCGTCCGTATGTATGAACGCAAGGATCTCAGAACCTATAAGAGCTAGAGACTAAAATTTTAGATGTAGGTGCTCCTAGTTCCCGCGCAGATCGAGTTTGTTTCCGAGAATCGATAACTTACTCCGTTTTCAAGCAATCGATTAAAATCGATATCGATATCCAGTTTTTTGGGCAATTTTGGTAAATAATAAGAGCTAGAGTTACCAAACTTGACATTTAGCTTCTAAAATAGAATATATATATGCATTTGATGTTGGAAGAAGAGGGTTCAGGGCATCCCCTAGTCGGGAGCTCCCGACTAGAACCTCTTACTAGTTTTTTTTGGGTATGTCCACCAAGCATACTTAAATGTTTTTTTGTGGCTGCATGTGTGGCTGCATTAAATCGGCTAACTTGGCCCGTCATACTGCTTTTGCAATAGCTGCAATAAGCCCATGTATTGTCAGTAACTTCCTTGCCGAGCCAGTTTTTAAACTGGGTACTTAACGCACTTTTTGCTTATAAACAGCTTTCGACATTTTGCAAGTCAAGAGTTTATTAAGTTCGCTCATTTCAAGTTTTGACTCATTTTTGTTAATATTAAATCATTTTATAAAAGAAAAGCGAAAAGCAAGCTAATCTTATTTAAAAAAAAGTCAGAATTCCCACAGCCCGTCAGTCAGACTTCAAAAAAGCCAGATCTGACGGGAAAAAATCTGATTTGGCAACACTGGTTGTATGTTGGTTGGTGACAAACAGGAAGAGGAAGAGATCTCAGAAAAAGAGAGAAAGAGAGAGAGAGAGAGAGAGAGAGAGAAAAACAAATAAAAAAAGCTTATGTGCCAAACCAGGGGATACCCTGCACTGCTTCTAACAACAGAAATTCTTGCAACAGCTAAAATAAGATACTTAATCTGTTTAAACTATTTAAAAAGCTAAAAGCCTAAAACTTAAGTGATTTGATCAAAAAAGCAAAATTTCGATGCCGATTCGTTATCAGAAAGAAACTCGTACTTCACGGACATTAGGAGAATCTATCCTTACAAAAGTTCTAATTTCTAGACTCTTGGGATGGATGTTTAGCAAGAATATATTTGTTTTTTCTGCATGTTACATACTTTTGTGCAAAACATTATGCCCTTATTTTATATATGCACATATATTTGAAGTGGGCTCAGGCTATAAAGCCAGAGACTGGAAGCTCTATGCATACTAAATATTTGCGCTTGAAAAACACGTTCTGGTGCCTCGCACCAAGTATTAAGCGGGTATGCTCAGCTGTTTTTGCAACTGGCAACAAAAGTTACTTCTGCGAGTTTAATTTTGCTTGCTTTGCTGAAAGTTTAGACAAATATTTCTTAATATCAGAATATTTCTGAGTTTTTCGGTTATTTCTAGAGCTCTTTGAAGCTTTACAGTGCAAGCCATATTTCGAAAAGAGTATTTGACATTCGTTGTTCGTGTTTCTTGCTCAATCCATTAATATAGTAGGTTTGTTTTGAACAGCTTCTAATTTATTGCTCGACAACATTTAAATAACTTACCTAGGCTAACTTTACAAAGCATAATAAACAATCGCACCTGAAGTCGAGTCTGCGACCAACCTTCGCTTCTAGTCGGGTTTCTCTTTCTACTCAAGAGCAAAACCCGAATAAACTTTGTCTTCTACTTAACAGACATATACATATATATATGTGTGTGTGCGTGTGTGTGTGTGCCCAGAGTGATGTCACAAAGCAACGTCAAATGAAAGCAGCTCAGATAAGCGTGCAAGTGTGTGTGTGTGTGTGTGTGTGTGTATTTCATGTATTTGTTGCTTACTTTACTTTATTTGCATGGTTCACTTGAACCGTTAATCATTTTATTGCGAATCTCACTTATACAATTAAAAATTGGCACATGCATATATAGAGCGAGACTACCCCGTGAAAAGAGGTAAGGGGGATATATTTTAGCTAGAGATAAGATAAACAAAAATTCGAAATTTCGCGCAGTCGAATTTTAAAACGAAAAAATAGTTAGCAAATGTGTATGTGGCATTTCACGCCAAAACAGGGTATCTGGCAGTCGTGCAGCTCAGCACAATTGGCGCTCAGAGTATTTGCCGCTCTGCGGGCATATTTGTAAAAGACTCAGAATTTTTCGTTTAGTCTGGGCGCATTGACTCACCAAGAACATTGTGTCTTCTTCTTCGAAAGGAGCTTAGCATGAAGTCGGTAAGTTGAATATGTTTTTTTTTAATACCAATTTGTGTTTGCAGATTCCCTTGCACCAAAAAAAAAGATACCCCTGCTCTGCAAGCGGCAGTCGCAACTGTACAAAGTGAAAAGTTGACGTCAGCGCAATGCGAATTCTAGATGAAAGCTTTACATTAATTAACTATTTCTGAAGATATAAGTAATTAAATAATAAATTGAAATAATTAAAAATGAAGTAAAATAAATATAATTCCCAGCATATATACACCTTGCAGCAGTGCATGGATTATCAAAATATATATTAAATAAATGTTTGTTCTAAAAATAATTATATGTATAACCAGATTTTCAAAATTGTACTATAAAAATTTTGAAAATAAAGTGAATATCAGTCAAAGTGCTTAAAGAGATTAAAAATAGAAAAACCTATTTAATAATTAAATTAAAAAAATTCCCGGCATAGTTTTAGATAGAGTTTTAAACGAATTTAAATTAATTATTTACATTTGAAAAGAAATAATTAATTAATATTAATATAATTTAAATTTTTTCCTATTTAAACTAGCCGTAGATAATGTTAGTTTTTTGTCTACTCGATTAAGTAGCCAATGAGCTAGGTTAAATATTAAAATCTGGTAACTATTATACTCGCAGACAATATCTTTCAGGGACTTGTGCTAACACTGCTATTTCTAGAGATTGTAGCTGCCCAAATACCGGGATGCGATTACTTCGACACGGTGGACCTCTCGCATAGCTCCAAGCTGCCCAACGGCTCGTATCAGTACGAAGGGCTGGTCATACCGCCAGAGCAGACTGGGGAATATGACTTTGAGATATTGGCGGACGGAGAGAAGGAGTCGGTGCCCAGGCACCTGCGAGGCTGTGCCTGTCGACTGGGCAGCTGTATTCGATTCTGTTGCCATAGGAATCTCTTCCTCGACAGCAATGAACGCACGTGCAGCGGAGATATTGCCCAGGCAGTTGACTATGATCCCTATGTAAACATAAGCCTGGCCAATGGCACTCAGGTGAGGAGGCACGTGCTGAAGGACTTTATCGTACAGCAAGATCTGCCTGTACCCTGTTCGGAACATTTCCATCTGGATGCGTTAAACGATGAATCTCATGGATGGACACTGATGGAGGTTTGATTGGCATCCAGTGCGAGTTCCTTCTTTTAATAAATCTAAGCTTTTCTAGGATGGCAGACTACTACGTCATTTCGATCAAAAGTCCTTGTCGAAGCAGGAGTACTGCCTCCAACCGCATCCAATCAGTGCTGGCGACAACAAAACGGTCATCACGCTCGTGCCCCACAACTGCAATGACCCGCCGGAGAGTCAATTGCTGTACAATATACGTAAGCTAAGTAGATACCAAGATACCAAGATATCAAGAAACTACAGACTTGCAGAGGAATTAGGATCTTAGTAGGTGTCAAGGTGATTTCTTCTTGATCAGATCACTGAACGCCGGCTCTCAGAGATCCCGCCCAAAACCGTATCTCGGCGTACTTCCAGTCTGAAGCCTGGAGTGTCCTGTAGATCATAACATTCTTGTTGATGATTCAGTTCATATTCCAATCGCAGATGTGGGTCCATACTGTCGAGGTATACTCTAAGCTCTCGGCTATCTGCAGAAGACATAGTAGATGAGTAGAGCGGCAAAACAGAAGGAACCTTCATTCGGGAAGCTTCTGACCACACTGTAGATCGCCAGCTGGATGGCTCTTTGGTCCTCCACAATAACGAGCGTTCTGTAAAGAAGAAATCGTTCGAATAATATTGTTTAATTGATACTTGAAATGTGGCTTTGAATGGATTACCCTTATGCTTAATCTATCGCTGATCCGTTTCCAATATCCTTTGCAGTGCGGCTGCTCTCGATCATTTGTTTATTGTTAACGATCTTCGTCTACCTGTTCATACCGAAGCTACGGAATCTACACGGCTATTGCTTCACATGCTACATGGCCAGCCTGCTTATAGCATATGCATTACTCCTAGTCGATTCCTGGAAGGAGGACTGGTCGAAGTCAATGTGTCAGTTGAATGGTAAGTAATTGAATGAAAGAAACAGCTGAGTCTAAGCACCTCATCTCCTCATACTGATCTAGAATGAGGGCTTTATCCATTCAATGGGTTCAGGCTCTAAAAATAAATGGTTTGGTTCACAATTTTTACTTTAGACATTATATTTACTAAACAAATCTCTCTCGCGCAGGTTATGTGGGCTACTTTGCTGTCATGGCTAGCTTCCTTTGGCTGACCGTCATCAGTTTTGATCTGTGGAGCAGTTTCCGCAGCAACAACTACAATGTGCAACGATATACGCCCAAGTACCGATTCCTGATCTACAGCCTATATGCTTGGGGTGTTGCTGCTCTACTTACCCTAATTGTGGTTATCGTCGATTATAAACTGGATGGCAACGACGATGACGAACTTTTCTGGATGCCAGGAGTTGGGCTCTACAATTGTTGGGTTAAGAGTGAGTTGAGAACCCGAATTTATCGACTGAATAAACTATCAACGTCTCTTTCTTAGCTCACGATTGGTCTGCGCTGCTCTATTTCCATGGTCCGATGGCTCTGCAAATCCTTTTCAACATCATTATGTTTATACTGACTGTAAGATATGCCATCTTTCATGGGGCTAAGTTTAAGAAATGTGGAAATTTAAGTGTGTACATTTTGGGAAGGATATAGGACATAGAATTTATATAGATACGTTTATATGTTCTTGATCAGCAGCAAGAGTCGAGTTAAGAGAGTCAAGTCTGTCTACTACTATATCATAAAGTTGAAGAAGAGTTCTATGTAAAACTTTTATGTTTACCAAGATACTCTCCCGATGTGCTTTGTTGATATCCTCAGATGATATATAGTATCTGATATATGTATATATAACTGTGCTCTTCTGCAGGCCATTCGCATTCTGGAGGTGAAGAGGGACTTGCAGAACGTTGCGGCACACGGGGAGCGTGAACAGCGACTCAATTCGGAGAGACAAACGTATAGATGAAGATGGAAGATTCTTATCTAGATAATGGTCTAATGGGTAATGTCTTTTGATCTACTTATATAGATACACGCTGTTTATGCGCCTGTTTGTCATCATGGGCGTGACCTGGACCTTTGAAATATTTGCATACTTCGCGCAAAATCAGAAGATACTCGAGCAAATCTTTTCATTGTTCGATTACATCAATTGTGCCCAGGGCGTCATCATATTCATCATGTTCGTGCTGAAGAGCAGCGTCTTGAGACTCATCTCGAATCGGTAAGTATTGACAGAGAGAGAGAGAGAGAGAGAGAGAGTGAGAGAGAGAGAGAGTTAGATATCATGAACATTTATAATTGGGCTCATCCATCCTTTTTTGGCAAAAGTATTCGGGGCATAGAATCAGCCGAAGATGGCAGCGACTCCGAAGAAGAAATCGCACTCCAAGACAGGAATGGAGCTGCCAATAAGATCGGTCCGAATATCCTGAATTAGGTAAAAGCAATTGGTTATTCAATGTTGTTCTTGGTGCACGCTGTTCCCCTTGTGTTTTTGTTTTCCTTTAAATTTGTGTTACTAACCAATTTGCCTGCTTTTCTTGCTTCTGTGTTGTCTTTGTGTCTTTTTGTGGTTTTGTGATTTTTCGATTTCTTGGTATGCTTTTTTTAATTTTTCGGGTCAACTAACTAACGCATCCTGCATCCTCTTGGAAATCATCTTTTATCTGTAAAATAGTTCGTCATATATATATATATTAAATGTATACTTTCAGACTTAACCAGGTGGACCAGAGCCATCGGATGAGCACATATCGTTTATCAAGAGCCGGAGCATCAGCTCAAAAATATTCGTAAAATGCGCATTTATTTACGCTCAACCATTTTCGTGCGGGAGCTTTAAGGCACAATACGAACTCTTAATTTCTATGTCAGATCAAGTATTTTTATAACGAAGAGTATATACTACTAACTATACAATATATATGCATTTAAATCGGTATTTAGCATGATCATACCAAAGTTCCCTTGACTTCTTACTGTTGGCAAGCAGACCAAAGAGACCAGAGCTCGCAATCTTTGGCAGTAAATGTTCATTCGTGAACAAATTCATCGTGAACGTGAACAATGAACGATTAGAGAAAACAAAGTGAACGTTGCGTTCGTTCGTGCTGTATCAAATGAACTAGACATCGACATATCGATATATTTGATTTGCCTCATTTTGTCTTCTGCAACATTTATACTTGTCTATATATTTTTGTAATTGCATCTGTCAATGACAGGGATTACGTTTAAAGGAGTTAAACACGCATCGATTAGTATTAGAAAAGCTCTAACTTTAAGCTACAAATTATAAGTTATTCAAATTCTAATAAGCGTTCTCTTTACAGCCAGACGTAATGGACAGGCCGAAAGAATGCATGCAATACGAATAATATTCACCATCAGATAAATGTGTGCTTACGATAGCACACCTTGTGAAGGTAAGAATGTATAACAGCTAAATGTGAGCGTTGGGGAACATGGAAATGTTTTAATTTCAAAAATTAAAGCATTTCAAGTCGACTCGAAGGCCATGTTAATACATGGCCCCATTGCATTAGTGATGGCCTCCTCGCGGTGTTCCCTGGGTATCGATACTTGTTTGTGTATCGATAGCTAATTCGAGCGGCGACTTTTAAATTGTATACCTCAGATCAAATGTCAAACTAAAAGATATATCTTTATAGGTAAAACTGTTGGTCCCGACTGATTGGCTGAGGATTTTACTAGGATATGGATGCTTTCAAAAATGCCAGCCGTAATTGTGGAAAGATCGCGAAACACGTTTGTATGCAACTTTTTGTTTTTGGGTTTAAATTGGTTTTAAAATATTTTTGTGAAAGTTTGTTGATATACTTTTTTTTTGCATAGTTCACTTCTCATAGAGGAAGTAGTCAAAATGTTTATTAACTAATCATTAATCTTAATTTTGCTCTCATTTAAATCATTATGTTAATTTGTTTATCTTAGGCTTTCTTTCTTCCTATAGTTCTTATAGCCTCGGCAGAAGAAGTGTTAAAAATGCCGACTTTGGAAATTAACCTAGGTTTGCATCTTAAAATGTCAGCTAACACATCTAAGGTATTCCGAGTTTATTCGTTTCTTTTCTTTTGCTCTTTGCAATTGCTTGAACCATGGCCACAGATGTTTCAGCTAAATCGAAAGTTTTCCTCAAACTTCGAATCAGAACTTGTATTTAGCACCCTGATAAGGGCCTTTGTTGTAAAGTCTCCTCAAAGTGCCAAGTTGTGGAACAGCTGTCGCGTTTGGGTTCTGGCCCCAACTGCAGTTTCTCCTATCGATTGGCTATATAGGCGCTGCGAATGTTCAGTTTAAAGTCAGTTCAGATCGAGCTGAGTTTAGCGAGTTTCTGCAGAATGAAATTCTCTCTGATCCTGGCTGGCCTGGCTTTCTTTGTGGCCCACACTGGGGCACAGGCGAAGGTCTGTCGCGGTGGTGTTGCAGGTAACTAATTGTGGCACCTTCTCCTCACAGCCATAAAATTATGCGGGGCATTAACAAGTTCTTAACACTCTACAGATAGCCAACCAGCTTGCATAGGCGGCAAAAGCGAAGGATACTCCAATGAGACCGTCTGCTACGGCAATGCCAACATCTATATGTGGTGGTACGATACCAGGAGCCGAACCTGCAGGAGACTCTCCTACAACGGCTGCGGTGGCAACAAGAATCGCTTCTGCACCAAAAGCCTTTGCAAGAGCAAGTGCAGGCGGAACGAAAGGGCAGCAGTGCAAGGGGTCCAGTAACTGAATACGAAATATGGAATTGATTCGCTTCGTTCTACTCTCAATTCCAATTCCAATTTCCTGGAAATGAAAGGAATTTTTTTTTGTTAGGGTATCTTCAGGCAGGCTTTATAGTTTATTGTTTTTGTCATACACAAATTTCACATTTGATTAAATTATTAATTGAACGCTTAAGATATTGTTATTTGATAATCTACAAAGAGTTGCTTAATTCCTTGAAAAGTACTTCGATATGCTCTTAAATGTGTTACTTTTGGAGCTCTATGTTAACTAGTCCTCAAGCTTAGGGCTTGTCCTTTGCGTGTCCTAGGAATAAACAATGCAATAATTAATTATGTTGTCATTAAGGTAGTCTGTTAAAAACATAATTGTCTAATTTTCAATTGTTAGGTCTATAACATTTCCTTAAAACGCAGACGTTTCCTTCAGGAAGTTTAAATTTTGCTGTGCTGTGAACTGGATCTTCAACTGAAACTTGAATGGAACCAGTTTCTTAAATTGGTATAAAACTGAGATACACATAGAGAATCTGCTTTAACAAAGTTGTTCTTTTTATATAGAGCGTAACATCGGGATTAAGTACAATTATATGTACCTAAAATATGTGCTGCTATTTAAAGAAATACCCCGCCTTGAACAATGTGAATGTAAGTGAGCCGTTTATTTTGTCCGCCACTGTATAAATTGAAAGTCTTCAACCGAGTCACATTTAACTTTCTGTTAAGCGTGTGCGGCGAGAGCTTTTTGTGCAACTTAACAGCGCAGCTGCTGTTATCTAACAGCTGCAGACAATTGCCCAAGCAATCGCTCAGTTGCAGCGAATTGGCCAAACAAGAAGTTCGGCAGCGGTTAAACAAACGCGAAGAAAATTTAATTAAGTGAAAATACGTTAGGTTCAAACCTTCAACTTTATATGTGTCAAAGATAATTGAAAAACTTAAAGTTAAGTGAGTGCGCGCAAGAAGTTCACATGATACAAGTTTTAATCAAGTCGTTTAAATATTTGAGCAAACTATCTTAACGTTAAGATCGCTAATTGGGAACTCATTTAACTGTGGCGCCCATAAGTATTTGGACATCTCGCTCTCCAGCCAACGAGAGTGTCAAGGTCAGTTTCTTTTGGTTATGTTTCTTTTTTCGCTTTGGCATCCAGCGCAATGTGATCTTCAATTTGGGGGAAGCCTTGGATGCCTGGCGAGCGATTAAAATGTGATTTTTATGATCGAGCTGCCCACAAGTTTTATATTATTGTCGTAATTGCCGAATCTTTGACAATATGTATATATAGTTTTTGTATATTCATGCAATTGCCGGCACTTGAGGCTCAATGCTGAAGCGCGAAACCAGTTTTCAAAAAAAAAAAAAAAACTCCTCTTCGAGACAATGTCAACGCGCATAATTCGGGAATACCACGGAATAGGTCTTGAGGCTCGTACTGCGGATCCGGCTGGATGGCAGACGGGGCACGTTTTGAGCTTATTAATACAAATATGTTTATACAAATGTGTGCATATATATATATATATATATATATGTGTGTTTACACGTTTTGTTCAATTGTTTTCAAAGCCATCAAATTAATTGGCAATTGCGCGGCTCGTTTTGGTTGCTTTCGCAAATCGATTTTTGGCTATAAAACAATTTGAGACCACCCAAAAAAAAAATAACAAAAAATTTCTAATCCAAATTGTGTTGCTTTTGGATCTCATCACATCGGCTATTATCGTATTCATATATTATATCATAATGATAATTGCCGTTGTCGTTGCCCCTGCATAGAAAAAAAACTGACTTTGAACACGTACACCTTAGGCACAAGGCAACATTTATTACCCTACATTAACCATAGAACGTCCTACGTGTCATTTGGACCTATACCTCACAGAAGGTATACAACAATATACATAAATAAACTTTGGAGTTTAATATGCTCACAATCGGGCAACCATCTTAGTCTTATCTGCGAATTCAATTGCCTTGGCTTCTCCTTGCCAGAGATAAGTGTAGGCAATAAAGAAGATTTTGAAATGAAGTTCAACTGGGAAAAACCCATTTTTTGATAACCTCCCAACAACTGTCGGAGATTGAAAGCAGTTTTCTTTATATATGGGCTTTTCAAATTCCACTTTAAGCTGTGGAAAAAGGGTGAGAATTTGGCCAAAGTTTAAATATTTGCATTTCGAAGGGAATTTGTTCTTCAAAAACTTTTCAAATACAAGACTTTAATTCAGTATTCAGAGATATAAGAGACTTAACGAAGCATTGAGGGTTAATTTTGTAATCAAAGGATTCATAAACTGGTTTTAGGCATAGGCTATAAGTTCTTTTCCAATCCAAGCATAAGCAAAAACTAACTGAAATTACAATTTATAGTCGAAAAAATAATAATAATATACCAGGCTAATCTCTTCACTCTTTTGAATCGCCTTAAATGTTTGCCATAAGTAACCACATTTACTACTACTGCAAGCAAATGCAACTAATTATGACGGGCACTGTACGAATATAATTGACTTGTCAGATGTACAGTTATTGCTGTGCTTTTTGCTGCTATTCAACATGTGCATTCAATTCGCCTGAAAGCTTCGTGGAGCGCGCTGATCTTTGACTCATTTGGTTAATGGATGTAACTTGAGCTTTATGTCAGCTTCGGGCGGCTAATTGAATTGCCCGCAACAGGCCAATTAAGTCGATAAATAGACAAAACAAATACGCGCTGAATCACAGCTTGAAAAAGCTGCCCTCAGGGCTTCGTTTGCGAGCCAAAGCCAAACAGCAGCAGGTTGTGGGAGCACTTGACCACTTGAAGCATCCATTCATTGATCACTTGACAGTTTGTTTACATTTCAACTGGGCAAACCGCTGGCAAGCGTCTATCAATTGCCATGTGGCTTTTGTTTTTTTTTCGCCTGCGTGCGGACAAGGCGCAAAAAGGAATGCCGACAAAGGCCCACCAACAAAGCCCTCCTCCGCCAATGTGCAGACGTAGCGAAAAATACAGATATGTGTGCAATAATAACATGTGCACATGTACGTGTGGATGTACCTATACATATGCATAGAGGTATGTTTGTTTGTTAAGTTTATTTACTTGCGAGGATTCGCTGCATGTTAAGTTAACATTTAACTGTTATTGCAAGATCGCCGCTGTTATAAGAGTCGAGACAACATTTTATGTGTTTACTCTCTGTTTCATATGCATATAGATATAAACTTATATTCTGATTGGAGAATATGCCTCTTTGTCTTAAAATGAGTGGTTCTCTTATGGAATTTTTGTCAAGTCAAGTCATTCATGCATGCTATTGCTATTAATGTTTCTTTAATTGCCTTACTACTCTTTCCTTCTTCCAATCGCACCCGCTCTCTTTCTAGCTCTTATGCACTCTGACCAACCCACAGCCAAGCGCTGCAGCGCACTGAGCAGCGCGCTGCTAACAGCGCATTAACAGATAATTTAACATTTATCTGTTGTGGTATAACAGACAGTAGTTTATCAGTCGTCCGTTCAGTTCGTTTAAAGCCGTCGCCCGCTGTGGAAGTGCCGCGGCATTTTAAAAAAGAGAAAATCGTAGAAAAAACACAAATTTATAATGGAGTTGTTGATAACTCGTTAATAATATCGTATGCGCTTTTGCTTTTTTAATTGCTATGATAATAACAATATAACCGGTTGAAACGAACGCCACAACGCGAACTAGTGCTCGAGGTTTGTGATCTGCGTGTTGTTACATTGGGGAATTCCCAGCGAATTGTTGATGATCTCTTCAATGACATGTGAACAAAACTAATTAATAAAAAAAATGCACCAATAGGAAGCACATTTTATGTAAATCGCCTTGCTTCTCGCATACATAGGCCATAAATACGACAGAATTCTGGCAAACTGTTTTTTTTTCTTCTGACAACAACAAGTTTGGGAAGTTCAAAAAGAAGAACTTAAATAAATAAAATTAAATTTCAAAAATAAAAAAAACCCCAGCTCAGCAAAGACAACCGCGAATCAATGGCGTTCAACTGTTGAGCTGCTTTGCATACCGAATGACGAGGGGCTAACGCGTGTTATTATCTGCCATATATATATATATATACATATATTCAATATACTTCCAGTAAATGTGGCCAAAATGCAAACAATTTCAAAGTTGCACTTGAACAATAGATTTACACACAGCAAATAACTTGATTGAAGCAAATACTGTCGAAAGCTACATATAGATATATATATATATATTTATACTTATATATAGAGATATAGTGATATATAGGCTCCTAGGTAAGTGCAAATGGGCATTCAGATAAGGCTTTGTAGTATTTCCTCAAGAGCTGATTGTAAACAACGCACAATAATTAGTTGCCCTCCCCCCCTTTCAAGTGGGCGTTACCCTTCCTATAATGCGACATATTTATATATAATCGAATGGCATATGCTGTTCCGAAAAACTCTTAAAATTGAAATTGATCTATTTTTAAAACATTTCTGTTAAGATTTATGCGCTAATCCTCTGCTAGCTGAGGGAAATTCGTTTTGTTTGTCACGTCGAACATGAAATACCCTTGAAGAGCTTTACTTCCTAGCTAATGTTCCCATAATAGCTTTAAGATATGTTGGAAAACTTTTTACTGATTTGTTTGGAAAATTTGTGAAAGTAACTATGGAAAAATCGTTGAATTAATCCATCTATACTTGATCTTATAGGAATTATAAATACGTGCTTGCTGAGTTAGGTCAAGATATCTTAAGAAAACCCACATCATTTCCATATAAAAGCAATATTTGACAGATACTTTTTATGGAGATATATGTAATCGCATGTTTCTTTGGTTAGGATATCTTGAGAAACAGATGTTTTGTTCATATATAAACTAAATTTCAGACAATTTTCTCTTTTCTGCAAGTTTACAAACAAACCATCAATTTCTCAGAAATTGTTCTTACAATTTCTATAATATATATTTAAGATATTTATATATCTCTCTTGATATAGCTGTTGAAATCATTTAGCCATTTAGCTTGGCCTTATTAAATTAATTTTAATTTCATTTCCACAGCTCGTTTGGGCTAGTTTGTGTGTGCAAATTATAGATTTGGGTCGTTGGCTGAGTCAAATGATTAACATCTGGTAAATGGTTTCTGGGTAAATTTAGTTGCACTTAAGTTCGTTGAATTTCTGTTAATTGCATGGCAAATAATGTTTTGTCTTCAAAGCTGTTTTCTTAACAAGACTTTAATCAAACACTTGTTGCACTTTGAGTCAGCGTAAAGTGGCTCATAAAACAGCTCACCCAACCCCACCCCACCCCACCCCACTCTACCCTAGTCTACTCTTCAAATGCAACTCTGGCTTGTGGTTGGGGTTGGGGGTGTTTGCCCTGAAAACGCCCCGTTTTTCCCGCAGCCCATTGCCAACACTCGGCAATTCTTCACGCGCCTTCTAATTGTTTACAGTTTGCACATTTGTCTGGCGTCCGTTAAAATCTTTATTCTCATCTAAATACCCTTTTCATATGTCGAGTCATGGCTCCCCACAAACGAGTTTGTTTGTAATCCTTTTTAATAAACTTACCAACACTGGAAATTATTTTCTATGTTGCACTCGACCAGATGGCTGCTCTCAGAGGGATCACAGAGATCTATAGGCAGAATAATACAAAAACTAAAATGTCTTAACCAACACTGGATATTAGTTTTAAAGAGTAGAGACCGTATATTAGCTTTATTGTAATCCATCAGATCGGAACCCTATATCAAATTAGAAGGATCACTTAGCTTCAAGTCTTTCAAAATCGATCTTCTTTACATTTTTATTTTGTTAAATACACTTACCAACACTGGAAATGAGTATCTTCACATTTTTCCTAGCATATCTACTATATTATATTCCCTCCACAAGAATAATCCTGCTCATTTAAAGCTATTCTCTAAAATCAATGGAAAGGGTATTTAATCGTCGGCGTGCCGAATATATTCGTTCTTTCTGGTTATTTTAGTGTTTATTGTTTTGCCTTGAGTTCTGTTTATTTCACATTACTTTCCGTAAGAATTCGCGATTTACCCAGGAACTTCGATCCACGACACGTCGCGATGTTTGTAAACAAAGTTCAATGGGAATATGTTTATATATAAAAAAAATATATATATATGTACATTTATGTGAGGAACCCTTGCGATATGATAAATGCCAAATACACATACCATAAATTATAAACATGTGAGAAGCTATCTGGCACTTAAGCTGCATTTAGTTGCCGTTTATCATGCAGGTGGGTGCTGCCGCCAGGTTATCTGCCCCCGGCTAACTGATAAGCGTCATGAAATTGCAATTTAATTAGCCAAATGCATTTGGCCATATCCTTGACATTTACGCAAAAGGAATTCGCTAGAAATTGGCGTATTTGCTCAATAGGGATTTCGATGGAAATGCAATAAAAAAGATACATCATAATTATTGTATAATCCAATTTGCCTTTGTTTTAGTGATCCATTAAATACAGTTATTACCGAGCCCATAAAGTCAAGTACTGTAACTGCCAAAATACATAAAATTTGATTGAAGTACTTCTCCTTAGAGGTAAATTTCCCTGGTATATTCGATTTAATATTCAGTTCTGGAAAGAATTACTTTATGGCATTTTAAGATATCTTTCGACAACAGGAAGCCCTTGTTCGTAAAGGATTTCAATGGAAGATCTAGTTGATTGAAGTGCTGCTTCTTGTCAACCTTCAATCATATTCTTAGCAGCTCCCATAGGATATTTCATTAAAAATGAACTTCTGGATAGAAAATGTTTCCTTTATTCCAAGATCTATTTAGCATACTCGAAAACATATAATGCTTTCAGCTCTCGCTCATAGGGGATTTCTATGGAAGATCACGTCAATCAATCAATCAATCGGTCGGAAATTGACTTATGTCCACAATTCGTACGCTTCATTCCTTGTATTTAATCTACGGCGTGCTCATGCTTACGATACTTTCTTATAAACTTGAACACTACAAAAAACCATCCTCAAGATTATATGTGTATTATATTCCCAGCTAAGTTTAGTCTGATGATTGATGAGATAATATTTAACTATTTATAAATAGAGGTGGGGAATGAGGAGAGTGGGAATGGGGAGAGCTGAAATTGGAAACTAAGGTGCATTTAAAATAATATTAATGGATAATAGAAATTGAGATAGACATTAAGTTACGCGCTGTCTAACTATTTAAACTCTGACAAGCGGCTTGATTGATTCGCTATGCAAATTAGCTGCACATCAAATGTGAGAGCTCTCGTCTATATGTCTTACTTTTTACTGGAATAAGAAACCCCTGAGGGAGTTAAATATCGCTTAGCAATCAATTTACGGGCCTGGGCTGGGCCCAAGTGTGTTTAAATTGGCAAAAGCCTATATTCTATTGCGTGATGTTTGGTTTGACTGGCGTCTAAAAATACTTTGCTGGAATTTTCACACGAATTAAAAGCACCCAAAATAAAATTAAAAACAAATACGTGTGCGACTGGTGGGGATGGCTGACTAGGAGATACCCTGCAAACTGCAGCGAGCTGCTATGAGAAGGGAAATGTGTTCTTGTTCTTTTTTTCTGTGAAAGCCAAATGTTTTTTGTGGGATATTTTGGATTCTGTACGACTCCACGATGTGCCACTGCTCAAATAGAATGTGTTATATACAAAATGTTAAGAAAATAACAGGATATCGATAAGGATGTTAATCGATTCGTGATTGTTATCGTTGCCTTAAAAAAAAGTTTTGCTGCCTAAGAACATAATAAATGGCTAGATGGATGTGCTTTATGTGGTCAGAGAGGCCTTTTTCTGTCTGTAACGTACACTTGCACAAAACGAGCATACCCCATTTAAGCATTTTCAAGGGCATATAGAAAACAAAAACCGCACGCAGCGAAAATTGAGGAGACGGAAAACCATCAATGGGCCAGACCAAAACAATTAAAAACCCCCGGCGAAAAACTTTGTTGAAATTGAAAATAATCGGACGAGTGTGTGTGCGTGTGTGTGTGCGTGTGTGTGTGCTGGCTGTTTATCTATCTCACCTTTACCTTGTGGTGGATTTGAGTTTGAGTTTCAGTTTCAGTTCAAGTTCAGTGTCTTTCAGCTGGCGCCACGATTAGTTTGACTGCGGTTTCTGCGGGCCACCAAACCGATATGGGGCCCAACATACTATATAATAAGATCATAAAATAAAGCTGATATACGAAACATATATATGTACATATATGTGCACTTATTTGGTGCTATCTGAAAAAGACGCTTGTGTATATATATATTAAGTACTTAACTGATACGCAGAACATTTGGAAATTGTGAGTGGCCGCAATGATATTTAATGGTTTTTTGATTTCGTGAGTTTCATAATTTATGTGGCTATTAACATCGGGAAATACGATAAATAAAATAAATACAATATATATATAAAGTCAGTGAGCTGCTTAAATATTATTTCCTAATATGCTCGAGAATATGTCGGTCGCGTATTTTGGAATATGCATGTATTTGATTTTGTTTGTGCATAAATTACGCATACGCCGCGTGACACGTTCCAAGTGCCCGTTGGCCCGGGCTCTATCGCTTTATCAGTGAAGTCGCGTCGATAAATCTTCGTCAGGCTTTATACATTCCAGCATACAGAATTATTAAATGCGACGCCAGCAAATGCTGCTCTAGTAAATGCCTCCATTAGTGGGCGGTTGACATTTAAATCTATATATATATATACATATTTTTTTAATTGTTTTCCCATTGTGCAAAATTGTGTTTGATTCGGCCTGAGAGCGGCCCTAAAGTGCCCCTAGAGGCGCCGCTTGAATCACTCGACTGTCCCTTGGGACAATTACTCAGTGCCTCGCTATCGGAAGACATAACAAATTTGGGCTCATAAGAACGGAAGCAGGCAATAAAAAACCGAAAATAACACAATTAATTACTCATCAAATGTTGAGCATGTGAAATCTGCACGGATTGAGGAAAACTTAAAGCTAGTTTTACGCAATCAAAATTGAACCCAGCTTGAAATATCTTCAGCTGAGCATCAAATTCTTAGTTGAAGCAATGTTAATTGTAAATCCAAAATTCATCAATACAACGCCTAGCTAAGATATTTTGCGCTTTTCTTGCGAAAGTTTTCAGTGTAAAATTGCTTGTAAAAAGGTTTTTACAAGCTGCGTTTTTTCACAGTGTGCATTTACTCTTCACTTATAGCCTTAACCTAAAAGCTTAACTTAGGCATAATAATAAATAGAACAATCCAAAAAAAAACTCTTACTAGATCAACTTGTTTAGCTGTTGCAGCGATTTATTATCTTGTTGAGCAGCGCAAATGAAAAACAATATTGAGACTATGCCTTAATCATATATTTCTTGGAATCAATAAATGTCTAGTAAATGGTCTTTGTCTAACATTAGCAACTCTTGGCATTATCTTATCGGGGTCTATGCGATTTATGCGACACAGCAGTACGACTTTTCGATTGTGTTTCTTGTGCGCAGCTGCCCCTCTCTGCAATTCTCGCACTCTCTTCTAACTTGCTTTAATACATTTTTTGGTGTCAGCTAGCAATGAGACACTTGTTCATGTTTCTTGTCAGCTGCTGCCTCTCTCTGCGATTCTCACACTCTCTTATGCTGCCTCTCTCTGCGATTCTCACACTCTGTTATAAGTTGTTTAATCTGCGAACTTCGAATGTAAATTGTAGTTAATACCCTTTTGGTTGTCAGCTAGCAATGAGACACAACAACTCAACTTGTCGACCTCTCTCTGCGATTCTCACACTCTCTTATACTGCCTCTCTCTGCGATTCTCGCACACTCTTACGCTCTCTTATTGCAAACTTGAAGTATGTATGATATTGCAGTTCATACACTTCTGCTGTCAGCTAGCTGACATTATCATCTGACATATCGAGGTGGGGGGAATCCTTCAATTAGCATTCCTTGCAGCAATAAAAGTCACACCCATTCGCATAGACTCGCGTATGAGTCAGAGAACCGGTTGGGAGGTGCGTGTGAATCAATAATGGAACATGCTGAGGCTATGATCGGCATTATAAACCGATCGATGGCGTATCTGGCGTACATCGCATCTGTTTCTGGTACACACACACTTATGTTTATAGATATACACATATATATATATATATATATATATAGTATTTATATGGGCAATCAGAGCAAACGGTTTGTTGAGCCAAAGCAGCAGTTGTTGCATTTATCAGCACACAAAACAAACAATAAATATGCAACACAAAAATTAAACAAATAGATGTGAGAATAAAAACGGGGGAGCTGAACATAAAATATAGCAGCAATTATTATGGCGCTGCGCGAGTTTCAAAAATTTGAAAATTGAAAATCCGGAAAATCGTAAAATCGTTCACGAAATTGCGGGCCATAACTCAATTTTATAGCATCATTTATGCGTTTATATTTCCCGCAATGGCCAATTCGATTCGATTTTCACGGACCAACAGCTCGTCCATATTGATTGGCTAGAGCGCCAGATCAAAGGGGTCGAGGGAGGGCTGCCCATTTTACTGATTTATCAGTAAAACTCGATTTGGTTTTAATTTTCCTTTTTTATTCATTTTACTAAAGTAAATGGAAGGAAACTTTGAGCAAATCTTATTAAATATATAGAAATATCAAGGCTCAAATTAGTTTCAAATCGAAATAGTTCGAATAGTTGATAAGCTAAACCTTCTGCTTGACCTTTATGATGTAGGATAATTGATTTGTAGCCTTAAAATGAAATATACTTGAACTATATTATGCCCTTCATACTCACTTTCAATATGGTTCAGGGAATAATATATTAACAGAAAGTTTAATATCTGGCTTAGAGATATTATTGAAGAAAAAAGTCTAGAAATTAATCTGATAATTATTTAAAGACAAACCAAATATATACATTTAATTTGACTTTAAGTTAAAATTTAAAGTTTATAAAAATCACAAATTGGCAAAATTATAAAAGTTCTCAAACTAAAGCCTGGCTACCTCCAGGTGAAAGTTCACGTACCCAAGCAACATATTATATATATTTTCAGCCTTTATTTAAATATTCCTCTCGCCTTTTCTGGCTAACGAAATGTTGATTTTCAAAGCATTTTGTTTTGCGCTTAAAACTAGCATTTACTTGCTTGAATAAAGTTGGCATCCCAAACGATTAATTATGCTAATTTTAACAAATACTTAAATTGCCGAATTGGCGTGCATTTAATGTATGTTTGCCCAATGGGCCAATAAATTTGATCATAACGCCAAGGTGCGCGCTGCCCACGTTGCTGTCAATGAGACACACACACGCACACCCTACCCCTCAGTCCGGTTCGCTCAGCTAGGCATAAATGTTTGCTTCGAACAAATGCAAATATTCGGCGTTCAATGAATTAAGCGAAATTTGTTCCTATAATGGCCATAATCATGTTGGTTTCGATAAGATAATGGGGCACAGAGAGAGAGGAGGAGGGGGTCAGGGGTTACGCATTTGTAATGAATTTATTGCGGCACATTAGCCAAGGTCCAGGAGTGGGAGTTATTTTGGCCAATCCAATGGCTGACGCAGTCAACAACATTTGGACAGGATATTGACAGAATGCGGGCACTTAGTATCAATTTAACACGAACTCCTAATGTGTGTGTGTGCAAGTGGGTGTGTGTGTGTTGTTGTGTGTGTGTGTGTGCGCTTTGCAGATGATTAATGCCCTGCGGCGGCAGCGTCAGGAGTTCCGGCGCAACAGGACGCCCATTGACATCGCGTGTGTCTCTGTTCGTCTCTCCCTCTCTCTCTCTCTTCCCCTCTCTCCCTCCCTGCCTCTCTGTCCCTATCTGACACACAACATGACCCAGCGGACTTATTGCCCCTAATTGCGCATACGAACTGACGCAATAAATCCACATGTCCTTGTGCCAACCTGTTGGAAATGTTGATAGCCGAACACGTGGAATGCCACAAGTGAGATTCCTTCAGCTGACGCAAGGATAATGCCTGTGGCTTTATTAGATCAATTAGAATGCACTGAATGCATATTTTACAATATTTTAACTGCTTTTGCACAGTTTCTAAAACCGCTTTTAGACAGAATTAAGACACGATTAGGCTTGACTTATCCATCTATTCACATAAAATTAATAAATTTGCGTTGAATGCGTTTATAAATGCATATCTGAATCTCTTTTTATACACAAAAAGATGAATTTGCAGCTTTTTTCATATATTTTATACTATTTTAAAACTAGTTTTAAGCAACTTTAAATCAGTTCAAGTTCCTTCTTGCTCACAAAAATATGATATGTCATATTATTATAAATGTTTAATACCAATCGAAAAGTATTTTAAGCCAACTCTTTTTAAATTTCTTCCTGCCCACAAAAATGTTCTTTATTATTTTTGTACTGTTCTAAAAGCGGTTTTAGAATCTTGTAATCGGAATAATGCAGCAGCATTTTCTTCTATTCTATTCTAAAGCCTTGTTCAAGCAACTTTTCGATTTAATCTTCTGCATTTTTAGTATCATTCTAAAAGTGGTTTTAGGCAATTTTTTAATCGAATAAGTTTTCTTTTCGCCCGCAGAGCCCAGAAAAAAATGCAGCAGTATCACAGATCCGGATCGCTTTACTGTGGCGTCACGGTGGTTGGCGTGGTACTCCTGGTGCTGCTCCGGCTGATGCCGGGCAGCCCCTTCGGGGTGTACGCGATGGCCGAGGGGGGGAACTATCATGAACGCAATGGCATACACACGAAGTGCAGTTTCTTCGACACGGTCAACTTGACGGGATATCCGTCGTACCCGAACGGCAGCTACAGCTACGAGGGCGTGCTGATACCCAGCCATTATGTGGGCACCTTCGACTACATCTACAAGGATCTGGTGGACCGTGTGGATGTGGCGCCGCATATGCGCGGCTGCATCTGCAAGCTGAAGCCCTGCATCAACATCTGCTGTCCCTGGGGTCAGGTCTACAACGACAGCGAGTGCCAGAAGGACACCAACACGAAGCAAATGTGGCCAGAGCCAACGATCAATATCACACTCAAAAATGGATCCGTGCAGAATGTTAACATCTACGAACAGTTTGTGGTGCAGAGCTTCAGGCCCTGCACCGAAATGTTCTCCCTCCTGCCGGAGGTCAACTACTACGACACCTACCAGCTGTACGAGAATGGCACGCTGCTGCGCGAGGACGACATGCACTACATCTACAAGAACGAGTTCTGCCTGGTGCCCACCAATATCAATGACACGGATCTCTACTACACCATTAACCCGGCCAACTGCGACATGTTCAACGAGAATACCACGGTGAAGATCATCAATGGATTCGGTGAGTTTAGCCAGAGATTGGCCCAAGGTTTGTTTAGGGAATATGTCAGGCATTAGATATCAAATTATCTAATTGCTTCAGTGCGTAGTTATAAATAAATTGGAATTGGGGTTTGAACCATGGTTCAAACCCTGATTGAAGACGTTTATAAATAAATTGGAATTGGGGTTTGAACCAGTGCAGTTCAAACCCTGTTTGCAGCCCTGATATGCTGCCCTCTGCGATTCGTAGTTATAAATAAATTAGAATTGGGGTTTGAACCAGTGCAGTTCAAACCCTAATTAAACCTTTACATTCTATCCTCGACACTCATCATTTTTGCTCTATTTCCTCAACCCCTTCAGCTATGCTCTTCTCCATACCCTTCATGGTGCTGACCATTGCCGTATATCTGCTGATTCCGGAGCTGCGCAATCAGCATGGCAAGTCCCTGGTCTGCTATCTGCTGGGCCTGACCATTGGCTACTCGCTGCTGTGCTGCCTGCTGCTGATGCACGACATGAATCCGTTTGGGCTGTCCTGCAAGCTGCTTGGCTATACGGCGTACTTCTTCTTCATGTCCGCCTTCTTTTGGCTGAATGTGATCAGCTTCGATTTGTGGCACAATTTCCGTGGTACACGCGGCATCAATCGCTTCCAGGAGAAGAAACGCTTTCTGCTCTACTCGCTGTACTCGTGGGGCTTGGCTCTGGTCTTTCTCGTCTTCACGGTGCTCGTGCAGGAGTATTTTGATTGGCCGGAGGCGCTCAAGCCGGGCATTGGCGCCGGCCAGTTCTGCTGGCTGGACATGACCAACTGGTCGGCCATGCTCTACTTCTTCGGACCCATTCTGATCATCATTGTGGCCAATACCGTGATGTTTATGATGACTGCGATCAAGATCCACGGCGTGCAGCGCGAGATGGCGCGGATTATCGCACGCGAGGACAGCACCAAGAATCTGCGCACCGAGAAGGACAAGTAAGTGGAAGGTTAGACTCTCAAAAAGTTCAACTCTTATATTCCTGCTTTCAGATTCGGTCTGTTTCTGCGCCTGTTTCTGATCATGGGCGTCACCTGGTCCTCGGAGATCATCTCGTACTTTGTGGGCAACGACAAGAAGTGGTCGAAGATCTTCTACGTAACCGATTTGTGCAATGCCATGCAGGGCTTTCTCATCTTTATGCTGTTCGTGCTGAAGAAGAAGGTGAAGCACTTGATAACGAACAGGTATGTTCTCCAATTAGTTCCACCCAAAAAATTGTACTGTCCCGACTTTAACTATAAGTTCATAATTGTGTAAGTCGTTTTTGTTTTGGCCGTTTGCCTGTATCACGACTCGGTTCTCAATATGTATTTGACTTGTATCTCACTCGAATTCCCCCCGCACCCGAACCCTTAAATATCAAATACCAAATACCCTTCCAACAATTAGAACTGTGCGTGTGCGCAGTCTGCGGCAAACGGAGAGCGTCACATTGGCGGGAAGCAGCTATACGATGCGCCAGCGCTTCATGGATGCCTCCCAACACATACGCAAGCTGGTTGTCATACGCAATGCGTTTGCCAACACTGCCAGCGGAGTGCACTCGCATGCCGTCTAACAGGACTACAACAACAGCAGCAACAACAACAGCCGCAGTCAGTAAGCGGTGCTCTTCTTCTTCGCTGTTTAGTGTTGTGCAACGTGGCCATACTAAACGCTAAGCCCGCTCTTGCTCTTCGCTCTTCAGTGTTGTGCAACGTGACAATACTAAATGCTAATTGATTATAGTAAACGATACCCCTTAAACTCTTAAAACTGTCGCTGCATGCATTTGAGTATAAAATCCTTTAGCACAACGTTCTCTGTATGTATTTGCGCAGCTGGTATATATATATAAAACTATTCTCTTGTATTTTCGTTGTCAGAATGCTTTCGGTAACGCTAACGCTAAAGAACCGCAACAACGACAGCAATATGCAGCCAGGCTGTAATCCAAACACAAGACACAAGCCCAACACCCAAGTCGCAAGCATTAACACTTGAGTGTTGTAAAAGACAGAAAAATGACAAAATCAAAAACAAACACAAAAATATATCTACAAATGAAAGCAACTGCTAAGAGGCTAACATACGTCCAAATAACCAGAGCCTAACGAACAAATACCGTCCATTAATTGTAGCTAATATAACCATGTATAACCCAACTCCAAGCGATATTTTATGTATACTCATATGTATATACAAGCCATATATAAAAACATTTATATATATATATATAATGTGTACAACAAACAATGTTATCCGTAATTTTCGTTCAACAACACGAAGACTCTTGAAGCAAAAGTCGACCAGCTCGAGTCAATCGAACTCGACCAACTCAACGTCAACGGACATAAATACGCAACAGGACAAGTTAAGAATGAAGTGCTCCTCGGATCCGGCACGGGGCCAGGCCAACGGCCTGGGCAAGCGGCCGCCCGCAGCTGCCAAGACAATAACAAAAATCTAAAAACCAATATATATATGCAAAACTTCAAAAGGTAAAACTTCAACGTAAAAGGCTAGCTGCTGCCAAAAATGCCAAAATTGTGATTAACCCACGAACAATTCGAGCCAGTTTCCTTAGCCCTAAAAAGCCGCCCACAAAAAAGCTAACACAACTCTCTCGCTAACTATCTTAATATATATATAGATATATATATATATATATATATTATACGACAGCTAATCGCATGTAAATCAATTCATTTAGTTTTTTACCACGCCAATAACTCCAATCCACATGCATTTGCATTTCCAGCTAACACTTCATATTTATCGCCTATCTATTATCTATTATCTGTGTTATCTCTACCAATTTGTTTGCCATTTTCGATTAATCGGTTTTCCGTGTCTTTCACCCTTCCCCTACCCTTCCCTAGGTGCTCGAGCGTGCGCGAGGGCAGCCACCAGCGGCAGAGCCAATATTCCACCAAGACCACGTCCAGCAGCGTCGCCAATCTCTCCATGCACGAGAAGATCTCCTCGGAGAAGCCGCTCGTCTCCATGCTGGATCAACAACAACAACAACAACAACAACGCACCACGAGCTTCCGCTGAGCTTACAGTGGCGCACGAAAGTCGCGCACCAGTTGCGTTTTTTGGCAGGTCTAGTCCTTGGCTGACGTCCTTGCGTCGTGCTTATCGCATCGAATAGCTGGGCGCCCAGTGCCTCCCCCTACCCTCTCCCCCTACCTACGCCCCTTGCGCTCACCGCCCAGCAGCCATACTTATTATTATATATCGTAGCATTAAAAAAAAGACACTATATCTATATTATATATATATGTAACCCATATAACATCCATATCTGCCTGTAAATGTCTTGTGATCCATATCCAACACGATTATCTTTTTATACATGTATCTGCATATATATATATATACGTATATGCCTATATGTTGATCTGATATCTGTTTAGTCATGTAAGCGTTGTCATATCTGCTCTTAAACTGAAATTATTTTTATGATGCCAGAAATTCAGATCTGGCCAGAGCTCCCTTTTTTACACAAAAAAAGGCTAAAGAAAAGCCACAAAATGCGCATTCATAAAAATCGAGAATTGTTAAACGCATACTCACGCACATTTTATATATGTATGTATGTACGTTAAAGAAACTACTATTTTATGTCGAGTTTATTATAAAAATAAAATGTAAAGCCAAAGAAATCAAACACTTGAGAATTGCATACAATATATGCCAAGTGCAGCTAACGGTAACTCAAGTACTTATAGAAAATAAGCACAAACTAAATCAATTTTAATGCCATAAAACTGTTCCCAACATTTGAAAAGTACGCACGTTTCGCGCCATGATTGTTACCATTAATAAGCATGGACAGCAACCGGCAAGCCTGCGCTAGCTGAGTCAAGTGATGGGAACAGTATATAAACAATCTGTTGTGACATGCACTGGCAAGACTTCGTTTAATAAAATATTTGTGAAATTATATCTTCGATTGCGTATTGCACTTTGCAATATACGGGAGTAAAATTATTATAAAAATACAGTCCTACACTTGCTCTGTTCCCATTGTAAACAAGCTGTTTGCAAACGTGCGTGCCTTACAAATAACTGTTCTGTTAAATTTGTTAGCAAAGACAACCACCTGCATGCGTGCGTTTGCTGAATGTAAAATCATGTATGCAAACCTGCTTAATAGCAATTGGAACACTAAATAAAGCAGCATTTTCTTTGGTTCGGCTATAATCATTCCTTTATGACAACTCTTTTGTAAATAATATAAAAATTAACACTTAAAATAGTGCCTAAGTTAACTAAATTCAATTGCTTCCAGCACTTCCCAAGCACTTCTCAAACACTTCTCAAGTACTTCTACAAACCGTTCCCAGCGCAGCTACATTATGTTAAGGCGTGCGCACCATAAAGCGTACCCACTGTTAAGCTACGCTAGACAAAGTCAACAACCTGGCGCTGAATGTTAACATAAAAGCTCAACGCTGCGCACACAACTTAAACTTTATTTAAAAGCCGTTTGTTTCTGGCTTTGTTGTTGCTGTGCTTAGACTACCAACAAAATGAATTTTGAATGAGCCTCGCGCGTCGACTGAGATTCCGCAGCAAAACAAACACACATACACACAGAGGGAGAGACACACGCACACACACATACATAGACAATCGGAATCGACTGTGGGCCCTCTGCAGCTGTGGCTGTGCTTGGGCTCCGCTGGCTGGCTAATCGGTTAGTCTGTTTTTTATTCTTGGCCCGGCATGGTGCGTTGACGTTTCTGCCGCGGTTTGCCGGTTTCGTTAAGCGAGAAAGTCAACAGCAACAAAATCAACGCATCAAAAAGTTCGCTGCACTCCTCTAAACCCTGTCCCCCCTCTCGCGCGGTCACGTCGCACCATTATTGTCGTTGTTGTCGCAATCATATAGCCGTTTTTAGCTGTCGCTGTCGCCGTCGCCGTCAGCGTCGACGTCAGCGTCTGCGTCAGCTTTGTCGCTGTCCGTTTTGATTGTTGTGTGGTGTGTTTATTTGTGTTTGTGTACGTGTGTGTGTGTGTGTCTGCGCGCGTACAAAGCCCAAAACTGAGCATCAGCGACAGATATTTTATATCGAAACGATCGCATTTATTTATTTATTTAATTCTTGCGCGGCGTCGACGCCGCTGCCGCTGCCAACGCTGTGACGTCACGCGCACAACATAAAGATTTGAGCCGAAAAAGAATTACCACACCTCAGGCAAAACGAATACAGTGAAAACTCTGCAGAAAGAAACAACAAAATTGCAAAGGCTCTTCGTAAAATAAAGTGTAAAATGGTTTATTTTGTGTAAAATCCGAAAAAAATAATTTAAAAAATAATTGAAAACATGAAATCTAGCTGCGTGTATCTCAAAAGACAGATTTGATAAGAAAATTGTGAGAATAAGCGAGCTGCATACTTTGTCTTTTGCTAGGTTATGTTGTAAACATATATATATATATATTATAATTAACGGTGAATATGGCTGCGCCAAAAGCTCAGCTCTGTCTTGTGCTTGTCGCTTGAGCTCTTGTGCAGTTATATTTCTAACTGTAACTTTTATTCAAGCAGCAGCGCCAATTCGCCGTGCAGCTGAGCCAATTCGCCTTAAAGAGCTTTCACTGTAGCAGCTCTTTTGCAAGACGCAGCGTGTTTAATTGAGGAATTAGCGTAAGATCGGGCAAAATGTGGGCGGCGCTCGTGTGGTTCGCCGTAATTGGAACAACAACAACAACAACTGCGACAACAACAACAACTGCGACAACAACAACAACTGCGACAACAACAACAACAACAACTGCGACAACGTCTGCCCCCGCTAAAGGGGGGTTTCCGTGCGCCTATGCAGACACGGTTAACATAACGGACGGGCTGCGGCTGAAGGATGGCTCCTACTCGTACGCGGGCGTCCTGGTGCCGCCGGAGCTGATGGCCGAATATAGCTTCAAGGTCATTGACGGCGTGGAGTACCGTGCGCCGAAGCATTTGCGGGGCTGCGTTTGCCAGCTGAAGCCGTGCATTACGTTCTGCTGTCCGCCGGATATGGTGTTCAATGCGCAGAGCTGGAACTGCACGAAGCCGGCACAGGCGCGTGAGATTAGCCACGTTGAGCTGACGTACGGCAATCGGAGCGTGGCCCAGGTGAAGATCCTGGAGCACTTTGTGGTGCGCACCGAGCTGGGCTGCCGGAACAAGTTCGTGGACACCAAGCACGACACCTTCTGGCAGTGGGATCTGCAGGCGAACGGCAGCCTGCTGCGCGACGGACGCCTCTGGAGCACGGACGAGTACTGCTTCACGCCGCTGGAGCACAACAAGGCCTGGGAGCTGACCCCGCTCAACTGCGAGCGCTTCCAGCGCGGCTATCGCGTCTGGATCTATGCCATATGTGAGACTCTTCAATTCGGAGGCTCTTCAATTCGACGCTAATCCTCGTCTCTTGCAGGCAGCATCATCGCCATACTCATCAACATATTCATACTCTCCCTGCTGAGCTCCATCAACGAGGCACGGCGCAGTCATTACGGCCAGCTGATCATCTACTATCTGCTCTCGGCCATTGCCGGCTACTCGCTCCTGGTCTACCTGACCCTGAAGAATCCCATGAATCTATCCCACGAGGCCTGTCGCAACATAGGTTAGCCTTCTCCTAAACTAAACCCGACTCTTGTCCTTAATTGTGTTGCTTTTCCCGCAGGTTTCTTGACCTACTTTTGCATCATGTTGTCCTTCGTCTATTTGGCCATGTTAAGTCTGGACTTTCTGCTCAAGTTCAGCCTGAAACCCGTCAAGACCTGGCTGCGCACCTTGTGCTTCTTTATAGCCCTCGGCTGTGTCGTTGCGCTGCGTTTTCTGGTCTCCTTCGCGCAGGACTCCGATCTGCCCAAGCACCTGAAGCCGGGCATTGGCGAGGACTACTGCTGGTTCGATGGTGCGTACAAGTCTCTGAAAATCTTACTCTATATAAAGCATATATCATATTTGTACTCTTTGCAACGGAAGAAATCCTCGAAGAATCCTCCAGAAATTCTGTATTACGTCTTTTCATCTGCCCTTAAGCAGGACTTACTCTCATGTTCCGCCTTCTATCGTATATTATATAGCTCTGATAGGCTTTATCGGACTTAACTTTTAGATGAACAACTTTTTTGTTCTTAAAGAAATCTTAAAAAGCTTCACTTTCCAATTTTATATATCTTCTCTTGTTAACATTCCCTCTTCACTTTCCTTTTATATATCATTTTTCAACAACTTTACGTTGGATAAAAAAAAAAACACTTCTAGCTCAGTTGATCTTACGCCTTCCAGGCTTTATAATCTGCATAATTCTATCGATATCAGACTACTCTATTATAAAGCTTCCATGAGGACAGTTTATTCAAGAGTTTTAAACCTTTGTTTGTTTTTATAGAAATGTTTAGGACACTTTGCATAACTTTACTTCCAATACTTCCAATTCAACATATTGACAAAATTTGATCAACATTGGACTTCTACATAATATCTCCTATCCCCTATCTCAACGATCGATAGAAGCTTGAATTCAAATAGTTCCCGAAGGAACATTCGTTCATAAATAAGATATTTCAAGAGATAGTTTCCCAAGATATCTTCCTAAAACTCCGAAGTAGGTTCCATTTAAAATAGGAGCGAATTTATAAAGAAAACACAATAGGTTCCATAGGATCCATGAGATATGTATTATAATGCACAATTGACATAATCTTCCCAGCTAATGAAACCCTTTGGAGTACCATATTTCAACATTTTCTTCGACTTTCCTTTCAGTGCGCTTGTGGGGCATCCTGATCTACTATTATGTGCCCATTGTCCTGCTGTTGATCTTCAGCATCGGCTGCTGCCTGAAGGCCTACTTTGCCATCTTTGAGCTGCCGGCGGACACGCAATATGTGCTCGGCACCGAGCTGCGGATCATGAAGACTCAGTAGGTAGTCCCCGTCCGGTAGGCCCAACTCCATGCTTAACTAATTTGGATGCTTTTCCTTCAACCGTTAGCTTCTACGCCTTCTCCGTGTATTTGGTGGGCGTGTTCTCCGTTTGGGTGCGCGAAATGATCGTCTATATACTGGCCCGGGTGCGGGAGCACTTCTTCATCATCGATTTCTGGAGCGGCATTTGCATCTTGGTGCTGGCCGTGGCCGGGTTCATTCTGCTGCTGGGCAAGAATATGCACGTCAAGACCTGGTGGTCCATCAATGTGTAAGTATTAAGTGAAGCTCGAGGAATATCTGATTGATAAGCTCCGTTTTATTCGCAGCGAATCGAGTCAGACGGATCTGAGCATTATAAACGCACGTGTCTACAAATTCGACGAGAAGGGCGATCTTAAGAATCCAGGTGAGTAGCTGCCCGCCAGGTGTTTCTCTCTCTCCCTATATATATGGTTAATTATTCAACCATGCCTATATCTGCAGATTCACCTTATAGACCGACGGTGACATCACTTTAACTGAACGCTGGACTCATGATTCACGGCTCGTATTCATGATTCATGATTCATCAGGGTATTTGCTCAGCTTGGTTATGAGTCATTTGAGTCAATGATAGCAAATAATGTTAAGCATTAAGCACTATTAAGACTTGTTATACTTACTTACGATTAACGATTAAACATCGGTTTTTATTCTCGAAATGTGCGAAATTGTGCATAAGTTTGTGTTTCTTGATCTAAACTCAAACTTTGTTCACGATATTTTGTAAATTTTTATTATTTTCATTTTTTATATAAGTATTATTATTACTATTATCATTATTATCATTATTATTATTATTATTATTATTATTATTATTATTATTATCAATATTATTATTATTATTATTATTATTATTATTATTATTATTATTATTATTATTATTATTATTATTATTATTATTATTATTATTATTATTATTATTATTATTATTATTACTAAAAATATTACTTTTATTATCATAGTATATTTTATATAATATACAGATCTAGGATTCGAGTCCGGATTCTTATTGTCCGATTCAATTACCTATCCGCCCATAATACAGCTATGATCTGTACGCTTCACTTCCGAAAAACACTTTCCGCATCTTTGCACTAGTGAGTTTGAACCAGCAACCTCCTTTTTCCGTTACTTGAGGAACTGGACTGCCTCATCAGCATTATAAAGGTTTATTTTATTATTATAATGCGTATATAATACTGATACGAACTAGAAGCCTTCATCTTTTCACTAGCCAGTTTGAACCAGCAACTTCTCTTATACGTTGCCTGTGTAACTGTAACTGCATATTATTTGTATATTTATTATAATAATTTTGTCATATTGTAGCCATAGTCTATAAGTATTTCCTTCGAACGGCACTCACAACGTCCTTGACCCTAGGCCTTGGTCAGTTTGAACCGGCAACCAGCCTGAATAACTGAATCACATAGAAAACCCATTAACCACACAACCTCGCCTGGCTTATAAATACTTCAATACGATTTAATATGCCATCAAAAATCCCATCAATGAATTCGAAATCAATTCGTATCAATTTCAAAGGTAAACATTGAAGAGACACATATTAAATATGTGCAGAAATCAGTCAAACTTTGGCCTTTGACTGTTTTCATAATTAACTTGTTTTTCCATTTTCTCAGACCCCTTCTTAGTTGTGGTAATTTTCTTTCCCGCCCAACATTTAGCATACTAAACCTTTATGGAGCAATAATAAAGCGCGGAAGGATTCGCTAGCCCATGAATTATTTGTTTGAACACATTTTACCGCTGCAAACAGGTGACCAGCCCCCACGTACAAAGGCAGCAAAACAATAATGAAGGAAACACCCCCCACCCACCCCTGCATGTCTATTTAAGGGGGGTTCGGTGGGGCTTCTCGGATCGGATGGCTCGGATGGCTCGGATGGCTGACCAAGTCAAGTGGCACGCGGCAAATGTTCTGTTAATGACGCAATTGAGTGCTGTCCGTCCCGGCCTGTCTCTCGGTCTCCGTCCAGTTGACGAGCTCACGACGACGCGTTCATTTATATAGATATAGACTCTATATCTTATTATGGTACGCCGGCATGTTTATATACGTGGTAGCTGAAGGGGAGAACTCAACGAATTGCGAATACGCTGCGCACAAATGGCAAATAAGGCTTAGAATATATGTTAAGGATAAGGATTGTGGAAAAGGATAAGACTGTTGGAAGTTAAGGACAGAAATGAAAGTCGGGGTGAGTTCGCCTTTCTTATTGTTATATTTGTTAAGAGTAGGAGAAAGTTTAAATGAAATACATACTTATATATGAATCAGCAATTTTAGATAGAATCTAAGCACAGTTCTTTTGGCAAATTCGCTAAAATGAACTTTGGCTAAATGTTTTCATTTTACTTTTATTATAGATATAAAATATATTCTCTATAGAGTTACAAACTTACAAATTAAGCTATTTTAAAACATGTGCTAGTCTAAGTTAGAACCAGGCAACTTATTCGCCGGTTCAGGCGAACAAATTTGGAGTTCCATACTAGAACCGATTCTAGTTCAATTTGAATATTCAATGGCTCTAAGTAAAAGAAAAGTGAGCATTCTGGATACGAACTAGTTCGAGTTCAAAGGAATTATTCAAAAGAAGTAGAAGCTGTTTCTAATAGAGAGCATTACAACTTCCTATAGAAGCTACCTGCTCCGTTTAAATTAGCTTTGTTTTCAAGGCTAAAGAACAATTTGAGTTCCCAACGCGAACCAGTTCCAGTTCAATTGAATGACACTAGAGTGAGCTTTAGGAGTGTTGGAAAACGATTCTTGACGGCATCTTTGTCCATAAAATATAGCTTCTTAGATGCCTAACCAGTTGTAGAGTAGTCGCCAGTTCGAATTGCTGTGCCTTAATTTTCACAGTTCACAGTTTTAGCTGCTTTTTGGTTGTTGTAAACAAATCGCTGCCGTAAAGGAACAACAACAACAACAAGAAGAATAAGCACAGGAAGAGGCACAATTCCAACAACAACAAGAAGAAGAACAAGAACATTTTGTAGGTGTGTGCGAGCCGAAAAAGTTGAATTTCGTTTCGATTCCATGCGATTCTCGTTTTGGGGGAGCAGCCAGCGCAGTTTGAGTTGAACCTGTGCCAGGTGCGGATGAACCATTTCCGGCGGACAGTTCCAATTGATCTCGACGTCATTGTGGTCGGTGCATTGGGTTCTATTTCGGTTTCTCGTGTTTTGATATCTATTTTGGAACGCCTTTGATTATTTGGCAATTGCCGTGAGATAAACACACAACAGACAAGTAAATAAACAGTGCATGGACTGGATTTGAGGCACAAGCATGTCTCTGGCCATGTCCACGGCGCAGTTCTGGCTGATTGGCTGGCAGCTGCTGCTGATTGCGGCTGGCTATCCGGAGGAGGCGCGTCATCCGTGCGCCTTCATCGACACGGCCAACATAACGGGCGGCTACAACATGGGCAACTTGGGCGGCAGCCTGAACGGCTCCTACGTGTACAACTGGACGGTCATACCCAAGGAGCTGGTCACCGCCTACGACTTTGTCATCGAGAACGGCATCCGGGTGCCGGCGGCGCGGCATCTGCGGGCCTGCGTCTGCAAGCTGCGTCCCTGCGTGCGCTTCTGCTGCCCAGCCGGACAGCTTTACGAGCTGCAGCGTCGCCGCTGCGTGATTCCAACTGGCGACGGGCCGCAGCCACCCGGGCACAGTCACATGACCGTGGAGCTGCACAACGGCTCCCGGCTGAACCTCGAGCTGCGCACCCGGTTCAGCGTGCACGTGGAGACGCCCTGCGATCATATGCGTGCCCTGACCAAGGATTCCGTCTACCTCAACTGGACGCTGCACGAGGTGCGACTCCCAACCATGAACCTATCAACAGATTTAACTTCCCTTCCCTCCCCTCACACTCTCTCCCGCAGAACGGTTCGATTACCCATCGGGAGCATCTGTTCACCAAGCATTACTGCTTCACCCCGCTCCGCGTCGGGAACAGCAGCTGGAACTGGCAGCCCCTCGCCTGTGCCCCGGAGAAGCTACACTTTGCGCTCGGCGTCCGCGAGTGGACCTATGCAATATGTATGTTCCATAATATCATATATCTAACATTTAATTGATACCCCCTCCCCCCCTCCCCCTTTCCCGCATAATCATAAACACAAATACTTAAGGCTGCGGAAAAAAGAAAACAGAGAAAACCGAGTGCCAATAAAAATAATCGCTAGCTTTTCATGAATCGATCCAATATATATTCCCGATCATTAGCCGGATTATTTATAATTGCCGCGAAGACTTCAAGGGAATTACGAATCAGCCGCATTTGCACTCAAGAGAGATTGGGAAATATTTACATTAATGAAAAGGTTTCTTTTGATTGACTGCATGACTGATTGACTTAATTGATTGATTTAATTTAGGGTATCCCTTAGTCGTGCACTTCCTACTAGAGCTCTCTTACTTGGTATATCGGGATATTAAGTCGGGCCTTATTGTTGTTATAATATTATCATTACAACACTTCTCTCTCTCTATCTCAATCTCTCGCTTTCGTCTCTCACACTCTATCTCTCTTTCCCTCCCTCCAGGCCTTCTGATCTGCATTATATCCATGTTCATCGTGCTGATCGTGCACCTGATGTGCTCAGGTATGCGCAATAGTTTCTACGGCGTGGCGATCAAGGCCTACACGACGTGTGTTATCTTTGGCTACGCTCTGCTGGCGCACCTGACGCTGCATGATCCCGCAAATCTGTCGGCGGCCGCGTGTCGCGTAATACGTAAGTGCGATCGTGGAAGAAATAAGAAGAATCTGATTGATTGATCGATTGATTGATCTTTTAGCTAGCCTGGCGCTGCTCTTTCTGGTGCTGTCCTTCTACATACTGAGCTTTATATCGTTTAAGCTTTACGTGAGCTTTCATGGCGTGGTCTTCACCAAGCTCATGTTCTGGCTGATCTTCGGGCCGATCGTGCTCATCGCCGTGGGCTGGTCTGTGTTTGTGGGCTTCAGCTTTTACGGCGCCAAGCTTGTCTTTGGTGGCGACACCTGTTGGTTCGATCGTGAGTTGTGCCAAAAGCTCAGCTGTAGATCGCGAGGACTAATAGTGCCATCTCCTTCTAGCTCGCAACTGGAGCATCATGATCTATTTCTTTGCGCCCATTTTCGTGGCCTGCGCGATCAGCGGCTTCTTCTATTTGCTCACGCTGATACGCATCTGCGACGACCCGGACTTGGATGCGGAGAAGAGCTTTGAGTCCTTGGAGAAGAATCGCTTAAAGTCCTTCTGGAAGTTCTTCACCTACACGGCGCTTACCTATTTCGTTTGCGTCTGCTCCTTTGCGGTCAATTATTATCGCGAGGAACGATCGCATTTGAACTACGCCGTTTGCTTTAGCACGGCCTTTCACGGATTTGCGGCGCTCTATGCGCTCGTCGGAAAGAATCAACAGATTCAGCACTTTCTGCGGAGGATCGATGAGAACAAGTGAGTCGCAGGCATTCCCTATTATATATATCCTATATTTTCTATACATCCCAATTCCTTTAAGCGACGAGGACACCTGTGAGAACTCTGTGCCCATGTCCGTATACTGAATGTCAGCCTTATGTATATTATCGACGCAGTTTGGCTGCCACTGCACAGTTGTTGCGTGCCTTGTGCGCTTTAGTCAGGACACAAACCGCCCGACTGAAGCAGCGCAGCTGTGACACGCACCAAAAGCAGCTTTTGTTTTGTTGTTGTTTAGTTGGAAACTCTTTTGAAAAGCCCAGCGGAAAATATTCTGAAGCAGTGTTGCAAACTGTTTTGATAAAATAAATATTGCTTGTAAAAATAAACAGTAAAAATGTTAGGTCTTATTTTTAAGTACTTAACTTAACTGTTGATCGAATTTAGACATCCTTTTGCTATCCTGGTTGTTCAGATTCTTCAAAAGGCGTCTAAAAAAGAAAACTTAAAGTTTTTGCTTAAAAACATATTTCACTTAAAGCTTAGTATATAAATATTATGCATACATGCAGTAAAAGCGTGAAATAGAAAAGTGTAGAAAGAGAAAAAAAGATTAGAAAATGTACAAAAGCAGAAAACAATTCTTAGCTTAGAACTTTAAGTTAAGATAGTTTGTTTTAAGAGCTAAGTATATTATTTTGTAGTTTACTTAAATATAAGATCTTAGCATAAGCAAGAAAGTCCCTAAGAATCGCAGCCTAAGCTTTAAGCGAAAAGCACAAATCATTGTAAAATATCTGAAGAGCTTTAAGTGCACGTAGCTTAAAGCACATATCTAAAGTATGGCTTGATGTTAACAAAAAAGATTTTAGATATGTTAACTTAAGAAATAGGTAGCATAATTTAAAATGTAACTATTTGCACATAAGCAACATTTAATATCAATTTGGATGCCTGCACCTCATATAGCTAAACATGCAACAGATTTCAACAGGATGCCAGAATCGGAGCAGTTGAAGTAACCAGGCTTAAAGTGTTTTTCGAGCCGAGCACCGCCCCCCTTGGACACGTAAACAAACAGGAATACAAATACACGAATTTTGTAGCCAGGCTCATTCGCAGCGGGAGTTTAGCATCCCGAAAAGTATACACAATACATAACGTAATTTACACAACAAAAGCAAACTCTGCCGCTGGCCAAAGCAACTAGCTCGAGAGCTCCACAAAGCGCCCAAGCCCCTCTCAGATGCGACCCACCCCCCTCCGTCCAGCAGCGAGCAGCTGAAGTTGCCACTAAAGTTACACGTGGAGGTGGGAGCAACGGGAGTTGCAGGCGCTGCTGTGCTGCGTGGACCGTGGCCGAGAGTTTACAGCCAGCCCCTCCTCTCTCCGCCCCTGACTACGCTAAGCCCCCTTAGCTAGCAAGCCCAGCATATAATAAGTGCACGCCGATTTTGTTTGACATCATAGGTCAATGGCCGCCTGCCGGAGCGAGAGAGTCAGCGAGAGAGAGAGAGAGAGTGAAGGAAAGGGAGCCCGTCGCCTGCATTGAGTTGCAGCAGCAGCAGCGAAGTCGACAGCGACAGCGGCAGCGGCAGCATCCAATCAGCCGCCCACTGACGCTCAGTTTGGCTGTCAAGCGCAAGGAATCAAGTGGAAAGTGAAACGAGAGCGCAACAACAGAACCCCTCGCTCCCGCCCTCTTCACGCTGTCATCCCTTTGGCCCCCATGGCCACGTGGCTGCGCTTTGGTGCTCTTTTGATGTGGCCTCGCCCTCGGCCGGAGCCCAGCCCCAGCCCCAGCCCCAGCCCCAGCCTCTTTCCTCATTTCGTTTCATCATCTACGAGAGGACTTCGGCTCCGATGCTTTTCGGCTGGGCATACAGCAGCAGTGACGCTTGTGCTGACAGCTGCGCGCTGTCTATATACGGACACACACACACACACACACTGCACACTTGGATCGATAAAACGTAGTAAAAATTCGTAGTATTGGAAGCTGGAAAAGGCGGCGCATTTACGACGCATCTGCATCCCGACCGAACCAAAAAGGCAGCGGCATTTTGTTCGTGGCCTGACGTGCGCACTGGAAATTCATGCGAGGTAGGACATGTTTGGCGCGCTTTCACAGTACGCGCGTGTGTGTGCGAGTGAGTGTGTGTGTGTATGTGTGTGTGTGAGAGTGTGTGTAGCTTGTGGAGTTGACGGCCCCGCAAAATGCTGTTTTACAGTTTGAAAGCCAGGCACAGCAGCAGCTCATAGTAAATGCATATCTCTGTGTGCGTGTGTGTGTGTGTGTGTGTGTGCTTGTGTGTGTGTGTGTGTGTGTGCTTGTGTGTGTGTGTGTGTGTGTTGCTCTGCTTCTAATATTGCCAGCGGTTGGCACAGACCGCGCCCCGTTTATCAGTTGTTGGAGCACCTGCAGCTGCAGCTCGGCCCCGCTCATCCCCGCTCATCCCCGCTCGGCCTCGCTCAGCCCCGCTCAGCCCCGATGGCATCAGGACATGAAAATTAATTACTAAATGACTTTATGCTTTTTAATGGCTTGCCTCGCAGTTAAAGGATATTAGACAAGCCATTAAGTTGGTCCAGCTAGCCCCAGCTCGATGCTAACTGCTCTGCCACGCCCCATCAACGCCTCGAGTGCTCGTTTTGCTGGCTTTGATTGGAAATTTTTAGCTTGTCTCCTCTCCGTTTTTTTTTTTCTGTTCAGTTTGTCAACCAGAGGGAATACGAGAGGGGCCAGCACGAAGAACCGCAGAAGAACTTCAAATTAAAGTGCGGTTCAATTATAGTTAGTTTTATTGTGATATATTAAGATTGGCTTTTAGTGTTAACGGCTTGAAAATTCGGAAAGTTCTCATGGCAATATGCTCTCAAGTGTTCCACTAGAAGCTTTCCTTCAGTTTCGCCTGCTTTTGTGCAGCATTCGTAAACGTTTTGCTTTGCTAGCAAGAGACAATCTTGTGAGAGCCTTTCTATTTTCTATTCTTCCTTTTCCGCTACATTCGTAAACGTGTTTTCCGTTACATAAGTCAAATAATCTCTTGCTAAAGCTTTTATATTTTATTTGTCTTGTTTTGTGCTACTTTCGTAAATGTTTTCTGTTCCTCTCTGCTCTGCTAGAAGAGAAAGCCTTTGTATTTTACTTTCTTTCTTTTGTGCTGTATTCGTAAACGTTTTATACTTGCTTTGCTTTTGCGTAGCCTTTGCTCTGAAAGGAATGATCCCGTTCACATCCCATTCTCTCTATTTCTCTTTCTCCCTTTTTCTCTTTACTATCTCTCTCTCTTTACTTAAACGTTCTTCACAGTATTGTGCTAAAAAATTCTTACAAAATGTTACCCTTGGGAAACAGAACTAGCCGCGTATTTGGTATAGCTGTTAATGTAGTCGCAGTTCCGCTCGATTTCACATCGTGGGAAGCCGCAGTCCGTGGGTCAAGTCCGTCCGTCCGTCCGTCCGTCCGTCCGTCCGTCAGTTGTCCCCGTTTCCGGTCACATCTATGGCTAATGACTTGTTTAGCACCGTGTGTTGAAGTTTCTACTGGCTGGGTGATTGAAATGCCGGGCACGCAGCACAAATCAAATGCCATAAATAACTTATAATTAAGCATTTCGAAAAATTTACAACTCAAATAATTTATGTTCCCCAAATGTTCAACGAGCAATTGGCCAGAATTCTCTAGAACTAAAAAATGCGCTGCGACTCTTTATTATTTATGAATTGAGACAACAAAAGCAAACCAAGCGCAGGTTCGAGTTGTCCGTACGTGGGACGTGGGCTCAAAGCACACCGGAGAAAATTAAACCACAAATAAGCCAAGTCAAGATGCGTGTGTGTGTGTGTGCGTGTGCGTGTGTGTGTGTGTGTGTGTGTGTGTGTGTGTGTGTGTGTGTGTGTGTGTGTTTAATAATAAGTCACAAAACAATGAAGCCGCAGTGAAGTGACAAGTGGCCCAAGGGGAAACGTGGGGCAATCATAAATTCATTCATGAAAACGCAGCTCGTCTTTTTTTTCTTATTTTTTTCAAAAATTATTTGTCTTTGTAGTTGATTGAAAACGGGCAACAGTTGACTTAGCCCCCCTCCACACTCAAACGAAAAAAAAAAGCGATAGCTACCCCGATCCTCAGCACGTAATCAGTTGTTACTCTGCTACTAAGTCTTCTGATACCCTCTAAAAGCATGCTGCTTGTCAGAGTATTAGTGAGCTTTTGTGCGAAAAGCTCTGTTTGCTCCAAATAGCTTCGTTGTGCTTTAAGCTTTTGGCTTGCCAGCGTCTGTGTGACGTGTATGTGAGAGCACACAATCGCACTTTGTCTAGGAACACACATTCCTTAAAGCTTTTATTTATTTATTAGACTTTCAAATTTATGGCTTGTTTGGCAAATTAATAATGAAAAGTATGATAAATAATTAAAAATAATAACTAAATAAATATTAATAAGTACTGTAATTACTGTAACCCTCGCTAAATAAGCTTAAAATCTTGCCTTGTAGTATACCCATTAATGTACATAAATGTCAACGATTTACAGGGTATTCAAACTGTTTTCACCTTTTTACACTTGTCGCTCTTGCGCGCTTTTTATCTATTTTTTTTTCAAGTGGTTTCGTCTTTGGCTTCGGCTTGTGGTCGGGTTTGTTTTTGTTTTGAATGGGGGGGGCTTAGGTTTTGGGCACACACGTGTGCTCCCATTTCTCACCTTCAATGACACCTTGCCGTAATAATCATGAAAATTATATATGACTTTGGTTTTCTTTGCGCACAATTTCTTCTCTTCACAAGTCATAGATATATATATTTTATTTATTTATTTCCTTTGAGTTGCTGCTTATTATTTGTTGTGCTTGCTGTTTGTCTTCTCATCTGCTGTTGTTGTTTATTTTCAGCTTTTTTTTCTCAAAGCTTGCTGCAATGTTGCGCTTGTTCAGTTTGCGCTACAGAGCTGAGGCGCCTTTCTAACACTCCAGTTGAACAAGCTGAGGCATATGATCTCAGAAAGAATCTGATCTACATGAGAGTAAGTATAAAAGTGCTGGGAAGGTTTGGGTCAAACTTTCGATTTTCATATTTTTGATGCCAGAGATATTGCCAAAACTCATCAAAACAGGTTAACTTTACTACTGAATCGTATTTTATTTTAATTTTTATGAATGCCAATTTATAGAAGGGATTCATACGAATTCAAAAAGGTATAATATTTCAAAATCAGACAATTTTTACCCGAGATATTCACAAAAAATCATCAAAAAAGTTTTGATTTTCGAAGCGACCCTGATTTTGAGAAAAAACGTGATGTAACCCCTTGCTTTTTTGCCAATTTGGGCCAAAATTTAGATTTGAATTCTTTTGATGCCAATCGATATTACTGATCCTTACGAGTCCAAAATGGTATAAAATTTCCAAATCTGCAGCTATTTGGCCGAGATATGACAAAAAATCATAAAAAAAAGGTTGACTTTACAAACGAATCGTTTTTTGGTCCACAACTTTCTATAACCCATCGATTTTAATTAAGTTTGAATGCCAATTGATAGTAGGGATTGTGTGTCTGATAATTATGAGTGAAATTCTTATTTTTTTGTTTAATTATTAATTTTTAAGGAAGCATCTATTAAATAAGATAAATAAACTATACATAATACCCTTTCAGATTCGCCCTGGTCAGCAGCTGCTAATAAAAACATGTTCAGACTGCAAACTAACAGAGTGTTAATATGCGAGTGACTTTAAGCGGACGAAATAACCGGCGCCCAGAAAATAAGCAAGCGATCAGAATTCGAGTGAGAACGATGCAAAATATTGCTAGCATGCACCGACATACACCCACACAAACACGTGCATGCCCAGAGATGAGCCAAAGCCTGAGATAAGCAATCAGCAGTTCGTGTGTGTGTTCGCTGTCATATTTTTCTGCTCACGCTCACGCGCTCTGGATCCTCTTAGGCGCTGATTATCTGATCGCTGATTGGTCCAATTAATGTTCTCAAGTGCTCATCTTTCTGAGCGCAGTTTTTGCGGACCTGCGCAACTTTGTTCTGCGTCAGTGTGGCCCTATTAGTCAATAGGGCATGTCGTTGTGCTGCGGCCGAAGGTCTATTAAGCCGTTTTGTGAATGTGATACATACATACATACATAATTAGATAAGGGACTAGCACGCAAATACACATACATTCGTACGTGCATATTTATGTTTGGGTAAGTGTTTCTTGCAATTATTCTAAAGTTTGACAAAAATTGAATCAAAATTTGAAGAAGTCCATCGACTTAATGTGTTTATCCTAAATTGATATAAAGGCAAAGTATAACAAAAAATAATTTTCTCCTTCGCAAAAAATTCTTGAGAGCGAGATGAATAAGAAGATAAGAAGACAATGCAAATATACACATGCATACGTACATATGTATGTATGTATGTATGTGCATATTTGCTCTAGATATGCTCTCTGCATATGTTTGGGTGTGTGTGTGTTATTTCGCCGACTTTTGTCACTTTGCGTCTGCGCAACATAATTTTGCTTTAGTTGCAGCGCAGCAGTCGAGTCAAGCTGTTTCTTTTTTTAAATATTATAAGTGAAAATTCTCATGGTATACGTTTTCGTATATAAATAACGTAAGATCAAATTTGAATAAGTTCATCGATTTGATAGACTTTCACGAATGTTAAAGTGTTTATTTTAGTGTAATATTCTTCACACTTCGCAAAAAATTTGCGAGAGCGAGATGAAAAAGAAGATAACAAACAAGCAATCATATACACACATATGTATATGTATGTATGTACGTATTTAACGATTCTCTCTGCATACATACGCATATGCGATATGAAGATAATGCACAAGCAATACACATACATACATATGCACAAATTTGACGATTCTCTCTGCATGCATGCATATGCATGTATGTATGTTTGTGTGTGTGTTTTCGCATTTGATATATTTATGTACTTATGCTTGTGCATGTTTATCTACGCCGACTTTTGTCGACTTTGCGTCTGCGTAACATAATTTGCTTTGATCAAATTATAAGTGAAAATTCTCACGTTTTCAGACTTCTCGGGTCGGAAGTATTAATAGCCATACTTGAACAATCCATCGTTTTGATAGACTTTCACGAATGTTAAAGTCATATTGCATACTGAGGTCAAACTAACAGAGTGTTAAATTGTGAGTGACTTTAAGCGGACAAAAAAACCGGCGCACAGAAAATTAGCAAGCGATCAGAATTCCAGTGAGAACGATGCGACACACACACACACACACACACAAACACGTGCATGCCCAGAGATGAGCCAAAGCCTGAGATAAACTATCAGCAGTTCGTGTGTGTGTTCGCTGTCATATTTTTCTGCTCGCACTCACGCGCTCACTATTCTTTTTGGGGCTGATCATCTGATCGCTGATTGGTCCAATCAATGTTCTCAAGTGCTCATCTTGTTGAGCGCAGCAGGTGCGACCAGCTTGATTCTGTGATAGTGTGGCCCCATTAGGCAATATGTTAACTCTGTTATAAATATCTAAATATTCTCTCTGTTTATGTTTGGTGTGTGTTTTCGCCGACATTGCGTCTGCGCAACATAATTTTGTTTGAGTTAAAAAGGGCAGCAGTCGAGTAAAGCTGTTTGAAAATATTAGAAATAAATATATTATCGGGAATATCAATTTATTCGTAAATAAATCGCAGATAGAGAAATATGGTAACATCAAAGTGCTTGCTTAGTTCTTGTCGGTTCTGAAATCGAAATTTCTTAGTGCTCTGTCGATTTTGAAGACTTTCACGAACCTCAAAAGGTATATACTTTCAAAGTCGGACTTAATTTAAACGATATTAAAAGCTTACAAAATAGTAATTCGTTTTTTTTTTTTAATTTTGCAGCTAAAAATGCTAAATCAATCACATTAAATACCCGAATGACCTCGTCTATTTCATGATATGAATATGATATACCTTAAACAAAATTGTATTTAAATTTCGACCAAAATGGCTTACATGGTTTCATGAACGTTGTTGCCAATCTGCTTCGATTCTCAAATCAACAATTTATAGAATTCCGTCGATGTTTAAGGCTCAGGAATCTTTAAAGGTATGTCTTTCCAAAGTCGGACGTAATAAAAACGATGTATTTTAGTTTTTTATTTTTCAGCCTAATCTTCCACGCCAATGGACAACATTTGGTCAGGAAACGATCGCTATTCATGGCACCTAGTTGACCTTTATATCCTTGGTTATTCCATATCATGGATGTAGTCCTAGCGAGCCTAAAGGACCAAGTTCTTGCAAAATGCGTGAAACAGGGTCCAAAAATATGTATGCTTTTCATTTACAGCCGCCCCCAGCAGCAGCCCCGCCCCCTGAATGGTTTCTAGTTGACTAGCATATCCTTGGTTATACCATACCATCGATATAGTCCTTGGGAACCTAAAGGATCAGATCCCTGCAAAATGCGCATTGAAATGGTCCAAAAACATGTATGCTTTTTCTTTCAGGAGCCCTTTACATTAGCTGCAGCTGCAGCTGTTATTTAACAGGCGGCTTACAGCGATTTTACATAAACTGCTAATTAACAGCACTCATTTTAATTGAGTTACATTTCTGCCCCTTAATGCTATGCAATGAATATTTTTATTCAAACCACTCGGCGACCTTCTGGGCATTTATGTTCGCCTGGTATTTGAGTGGAATTTTAGGGCAAATTTGGGGCGTCGCCGCCGGAAAGGGCGCCCCGTGACGGTATGCAATGAATTTTTTCGGCCGCAAAAATATTGTACGTCGACCTTCTGGGCATTTCTGTTCGCCTGGTGTTTTTCGGAAATTTTAGTTAAATTTTGGGACCCAGCCGGCCGTTAGGGCGCCTCTTTTGGGTATGCAATGAAATTTTTTCGGCAGCTAAAAATATTTTTTGTCGACCTTCTGCGCATTTCTGTTCGCCTGGTATTTTGGCAGATTTTAAGAAAACTGGAGATGTGACGTTCCAAAACGACATAACTCCAGCGCCAGCGGTTGCCAATGGAGATATGACGTTCCAAAACGACATAACTCCAGCGCCAGCGGTTGCCAATGGAGATATGACGTTCCAAAACGACATAACTCCAGCGCCATTTCTAAAAACCGTTGATTTTTGAATTTTTAAATAAAAAAACAGGAATTTCGCTTTTATTTTAAATTTATTTATGTTTCAATTTATAAAATTGCTGTTTCTTATGCTAATTTTCTTAATTATTTCTCTTAAAATTATACAAAACGAGCATAATTTATAATTTTAGCTTATTTAAACTTAAATTAACTAAATCTGGCCTTAATTAAGTCCGATCCTTAAGAAATCTGCTTTGTCACTCGTGGAGGTCCTTAGAGGTCCTTATAGTCCTTAATCTGGCGGTCTGAAATGATAAAAACACATTTAAATTAAACATATAGATAATTCTAGAAAATCGGAAAATTGGCCATAACTCGGGCATGTCCCTGCAGATTTTCAAAGGACATGGTGCGTTAGGATCATATAGACCCCCTGCATCAATCTGCATCATAAAAATATAGGGTCATCTAAGAATCACATGACTCGAAATCGGACTTGTAAAATTTTTGTCCCGGAGCGCACGGAAATGGCCCGAAAACACAAATCCTTGAATATCTTCAAAACTACAAGGACGATCTTAATGAAATTTTGCCAGTTGATAGTCCTGGCCAACACAATTATTTTGACATATGACTCGCCAGGATACGCAAGGATATGGTCGAGTTATGGCCTAATTTCTTTAAGCAAAATCGTCCTTAAAACTTTTTTGTCTGAAGGACTTTCGTCCTTTGGGTTGTAAATTGTTCAATGGGATGCTGAGGACTATCTACTGGCCAAAGGACATCCCGATAGTCCTTCAAATGGCGAAGTTAGCCCGGAATTTTTCGATTTTTGCCAATTTTGCGACTAACCCCCTAGGATAAATTTCGATGAAATTTGAAGCGACATAGCTCCGCCGTTGATCATGGCCAGATTATGTCGTTGTCCGCGTGGTGATATGTCGTTTTTAAATCATCAAAAAAGGTTCATTTTGAAAACCAATCGGTTTTTGGTCAATTTTTTTTAACCCATCGATATTGAATTTTTTTTGATTTGAATTCTGATGATGCCAATCGATAGTACTGATCCTTACGAGTCCAAAATGGTATAAAATTTCCAAATCTGAACCTATTTGGCCGAGATATGATAAAAAATCATAAAAAAAAGGTTGACTTTACAAACGAATCGTTTTTTGGTCCACAACTTTCTATAACCCATCGATTTTATTTAAGTTTGAATGCCAATTGATAGTAGCGATTCATACGAATTTAAAAAGGTATAATATTTCAAAATCAGACAGTTTTTACCCGAGATATTCACAAAAAATCATCAAAAAAGTTTTGATTTTCGAAGCGACCCTGATTTTGGGAAAAAACGTGATGTAACCCCTTGCTTTTTTGTTGATTTGGGCCAAAATTTAGATTTGAATTCTTTTGATGCCAATCGATAGTACTGATCCTTACGAGTCCAAAATGGTATAAAATTTCCAAATCTGAAGCTATTTGGCCGAGATATGACAAAAAATCATAAAAAAAAGGTTGACTTTACAAACGAATCGTTTTTTGGTTCACAGCTTTCTATAACCCATCGATTTTAATTAAGTTTGAATGCCAACTGATAGTAGGGATTCATACAAATTTAAAAAGGTATAATATTTCAAAATCAGACAATTTTTACCCGAGATATTCACAAAAAATCATCAAAAAGTTTTGATGTTCGAAGCGACCCTGATTTTGGGAAAAAACGTGATGTAACCCCTTGCTTTTTTGTCAATTTGGGCCAAAATTTAGATTTGAGTTCTTTTGATGCCAATCGATAGTACTGATCCTTAAGAGTCTAAAATGGTATAAAATTTCCAAATCTGAAGCTATTTGGTCGAGATATGACAAAAAATCATAAAAAAAGGTTGACTTTACAAACGAATCGTTTTTTGGTCCACAGCTTTCTATAACCCATCGATTTTAATTAAGTTTGAATGCCAATTGATAGTAGGGATTCATACGAATTTAAAAAGGTATAATATTTCAAAATCAGACAATTTTTACCCGAGATATTCACAAAAAATCATCAAAAAAGATTTGATTTTCGAAGCGACCTTGATTTTGGAAAAAAACGTGATGTAACCCCTTGCTTTTTTGTCGATTTGGGCCACAATTTAGATTTGAATTCTTTTGATGCCAATCGATAGAACTGATCCTTACGAGTCCAAAATGGTATAAAATTTCCAAATCTGAAGCTATTTGGCCGAGATATGACAAAAAATCATAAAAAAAGGTTGACTTTACAAACGAATCGTTTTTTGGTCCACAGACCCATCGATTTTAATTAAGTTTGAATGCCAATTGATAGTAGGGATTCATACGAATTTAAAAAGGTATAATATTTCAAAATCAGACAATTTTTACCCGAGATATTCACAAAAAATTATCAAAAAAGTTTTGATTTTCGAAGCGACCCTGATTTTGGGAAAAAACGTGATGTAACCCCTTGCTTTTTTGTCGATTAGGGCCAAAATTTAGATTTGAATTCTTTTGATGCCAATCGATAGTACTGATCCTTACGAGTCCAAAATGGTATAAAATATCCAAATCTGAAGCTATTTGGCCGAGATATGATAAAAAATCATTAAAAAAAGGTTGACTTTACAAACGAATCGTTTTTTGGTCCACAACTTTCTATAACCCATCGATTTTAATTAAGTTTGAATGCCAATTGATAGTAGGGATTCATACGAATTTAAAAAGGTATAACATTTCAAAATCAGACAATTTTTACCCGAGATATTCACAAAAAATCATCAAAAAAGTTTTGATTTTCGAAGCGACCCTGATTTTGGGAAAAAACGTGATGTAACCCCTTGCTTTTTTGTCGATTTGGGCCAAAATTTAGATTTGAATTCTTTTGATGCCAATCGATAGTACTGATCCTTACGAGTCCAAAATGGTATAAAATTTCCAAATCTGAAGCTATTTGGCCGAGATATGACAAAAAATCATAAAACAAGGTTGACTTTACAAACGAATCGTTTTTTGGTCCACAGACCCATCGATTTTAATTAAGTTTGAATGCCAATTGATATTCACAAAAAATTATCAAAAAAGTTTTGATTTTCGAAGCGACCCTGATTTTGGGAAAAAACGTGATGTAACCCCTTGCTTTTTTGTCGATTTGGGCCAAAATTTAGATTTGAATTCTTTTGATGCCAATCGATAGTACTGATCCTTACGAGTCCAAAATGGTATAAAATATCCAAATCTGAAGCTATTTGGCCGAGATATGACAAAAAATCATAAAAAAAGGTTGACTTTACAAACGAATCGTTTTTTGGTCCACAACTTTCTATAACCCATCGATTTTAATTAAGCTTGAATGCCAATTGATAGTAGGGATTCATACGAATTTAAAAAGGTATAATATTTCAAAATCAGACAATTTTTACCCGAGATATTCACAAAAAATCATCAAAAAAGTTTTGATTTTCGAAGCGACCCTGATTTTGGGAAAAAACGTGATGTAACCCCTTGCTTTTTTGTCGATTTGGGCCACAATTTAGATTTGAATTCTTTTGATGCCAATCGATAGTACTGATCCTTACGAGTCCAAAATGGTATAAAATTTCCAAATCTGAAGCTATTTGGCCGAGATATGATAAAAAATCATAAAAAAAAGGTTGACTTTACAAACGAATCGTTTTTTGGTCCACAGACCCATCGATTTTAATTAAGTTTGAATGCCAATTGATAGTAGGGATTCATACGAATTTAAAAAGGTATAATATTTCAAAATCAGACAATTTTTACCCGAGATATTCACAAAAAATTATCAAAAAAGTTTTGATTTTCGAAGCGACCCTGATTTTGGGAAAAAACGTGATGTAACCCCTTGCTTTTTTGTCGATTTGGGCCAAAATTTAGATTTGAATTCTTTTGATGCCAATCGATAGTACTGATCCTTACGAGTCCAAAATGGTATAAAATATCCAAATCTGAAGCTATTTGGCCGAGATATGACAAAAAATCATAAAAAAAGGTTGACTTTACAAACGAATCGTTTTTTGGTCCACAACTTTCTATAACCCATCGATTTTAATTAAGCTTGAATGCCAATTGATAGTAGGGATTCATACGAATTTAAAAAGGTATAATATTTCAAAATCAGACAATTTTTACCCGAGATATTCACAAAAAATCATCAAAAAAGTTTTGATTTTCGAAGCGACCCTGATTTTGGGAAAAAACGTGATGTAACCCCTTGCTTTTTTGTCGATTTGGGCCACAATTTAGATTTGAATTCTTTTGATGCCAATCGATAGTACTGATCCTTACGAGTCCAAAATGGTATAAAATTTCCAAATCTGAAGCTATTTGGCCGAGATATGATAAAAAATCATAAAAAAAAGGTTGACTTTACAAACGAATCGTTTTTTGGTCCACAGACCCATCGATTTTAATTAAGTTTGAATGCCAATTGATAGTAGGGATTCATACGAATTTAAAAAGGTATAATATTTCAAAATCAGACAATTTTTACCCGAGATATTCACAAAAAATTATCAAAAAAGTTTTGATTTTCGAAGCGACCCTGATTTTGGGAAAAAACGTGATGTAACCCCTTGCTTTTTTGTCGATTTGGGCCAAAATTTAGATTTGAATTCTTTTGATGCCAATCGATAGTACTGATCCTTACGAGTCCAAAATGGTATAAAATATCCAAATCTGAAGCTATTTGGCCGAGATATGATAAAAAATCATAAAAAAAAGGTTGACTTTACAAACGAATCGTTTTTTGGTCCACAACTTTCTATAACCCATCGATTTTAATGCCAATTGATAGTAGGGATTCATACGAATTTAAAAAGGTATAATATTTCAAAATCAGACAGTTTTTACCCGAGATATTCACAAAAAATCATCAAAAAAGTTTTGATTTTCGAAGCGACCCTGATTTTGGGAAAAAACGTGATGTAACCCCTTGCTTTTTTGTCGATTTGGGCCAAAATTTAGATTTGAATTCTTTTGATGCCAATCGATAGTACTGATCCTTACGAGTCCAAAATGGTATAAAATTTCCAAATCTGAAGCTATTTGGCCGAGATATGATAAAAAATCATAAAAAAAAGGTTGACTTTACAAACGAATCGTTTTTTGGTCCACAGACCCATCGATTTTAATTAAGTTTGAATGCCAATTGATAGTAGGGATTCATACGAATTTAAAAAGGTATAATATTTCAAAATCAGACAATTTTTACCCGAGATATTCACAAAAAATCATCAAAAAAGTTTTGATTTTCGAAGCGACCCTGATTTTGGGAAAAAACGTGATG